GGTCTGGTAATGGTAGCACTGCTCGTCGTCGTCGCAGCCGTAGTGGCAGTCTTATTGGTGTAGTACTGTGATGCTGCTAATGGCTAGCCGAAGTACCATGGTAGTGGTGAGGTAGAGAAGCAGTAGCAAGGTCCATATTGAAACAGTCGCCATCCTATTATATGCCGTGTGAGTGCCCTTCCCTTCTCAGCAGCTACATGGCTTACTCAGGTACACCGAACGCCCCAGATTAAGAGCTTGTAGCTCTACACGCTGGCTCCTAAACCCTAAACCCTCCGTGTAAACGGAATGTACCACAAAGGCGCCCGGGAGATGTTCTGCGGACGCTGTGTGCGGCTGCCAGGGCCAGCGGTGTTTCTTGAAATCCCCAAAGCGTCCGGCTGCAGTTTCCGGTTCAGTTTAGGAGCTCTGCTTAAAGTTCCGTCTCCTGCAAAGTCCCGATACAGAGATTTGATGATGCTAGAAGGGGTCTAGGAGCGTTCTGGATTGAAAATACTCTACGGAGTTATGTTCTGTTAGTTTGCAGGCTACCGGTACACTCAAGGCATTTCTATGGTTGGCTCGGGTGTCCAATTCCCACAACTTGTGGGCTGAGGGTTTGCGAAATCCTACACGTCACACCCGCAACTCAAAGGCCCTGGACGTGTGGCTTTCGGCCTTGGCTGGCTCTAGGGTTTTCAGTTTGGTCTTGCTGTGAAGGGGGCTGTTTCATCGCAGTGTCAGCTGTTATTTATAGGCCGCATTGTTGAGTACGGTTTTGCGCACTTTTGGGGTTTGGGCACAGGGTTCTGGGGTTCCGGGCCCCGTATGGTAGGCGCCAGTACCAGCCGCCAACGAATGCTGCGCCAAAGAAGCCAAGCATACAACTGCCCAGAGAGCTGCTTGGCTGGTCAAGCAGGGGATTTCGGGCTCTGTGTTGATCTGCTCATATCGGGGTCACAAGGATTTGGGGCTTGGGATGTAGGCCGTAGGCTTTTGCCACTGACAAGCTTCTGGGTCCATGGTGATTGCCGTTAATGTGGATTGTGGCAAGGTTGAACAACCATTCCCGAGGGTTCCTTCATATATCCCGACTCACAAAGCACTAAGGGTTTGGAGACGCCAGCGAAGCCGTATACCACACCCTAAGCCCGAAACCCTGAACAGGCAACCCTAAACCCCAAAAAGGGTAAACCTAGCCCTGAGCCTAACTCAAAGGCTCTGAAGCTGCCAGGGCCCGGAAACCGTTCCCTGATTTGCTCTAGGATCCCACCCTAACCATAGGCCTTAGGCCTTAGGCTATCCACAGAAAGTTCATAGGGCCGAGGTCCCCAAGCAACGTGTGCCGCCACTCAAGCCTCATTTGCTCGGCCATGCCGACGCCCTATAGCCGAACCCCCCAAGTCTTAAACTGCTAAGGTTCCCTATGTACGTTGTCCGTGTTGATGACGTCCTGTTAATGTCTGAAATGAGGCGGTGCGGGTATGCTGCTTACGGGCTTCGGGATTCTGCTTTTCAGGGATGTTACGGCGTTTGGCTTCGAGGTTTGAGGGTTTGGGACCCTTGGATTTGTTGAAAAAAGGTGCCTCGCGGAGCGGAGCGGTAGGTTCCTGGTTCGGTCCAGGGAGCTTGTTGTTTTCGCCTCCAGCGCGAACACAGTTTGAATAATCCCTGCTTGTATGCTTTAGGGTTTCGGGAGCAAAAAACCCTAAGCCAACGGTCGCAGGTTGCAGGAAAGCCTAGGAGCTCCTTTTCATCATCGCGATCCCGGAACCACTTGTTAATGGAAGAGGAACATGCTTTCAACTCTAGGGCTTAGGGCGCTTATGCCCTAAACCCGAGAGCTCTGAGCCACATTGTAAGCTGGCGTTTACAAGCTCTTCACCTGAAAGCCTGAATTAAGACTTTGCTTCGCATATGGATGAATGAGGCAGAATCTATATCAGAGCTTTGTTGAGTGCACAAAAAGAGATCCTTCGGAGTATTGGTGCCTACCTATTACAAGTGTCTGAGGGCGTGGGTCAGTATCATCGGCATGCAAACATTGCCGAAAAAACAGTTGCCTGTACAGCGAGCTGCCGTTCTTTAGATGCGCATAACATTAGCATGCATTATGCATATGTGTAGATACATATGTAATGTATACATGTATTGTTACGCATATGTATATGTATATATATATATATATATATATATATATATGAGTATATGCATGTGTATATGTACACAATTATACGCGTGTGTGTGTGTGTGTGTGTGTGTGTGTGGGTGTTTCTATGTATATGCGTATAGCACTTGTGGCCCAGTCAGCTACTACGTGGGCGGCTGGGCTTCTAGCGACTATTTTTGAGGGTCCATGTTGGATTCCTTCTGTCCACTTTCCGAGCAGCACGTGTTGCAGGCCGCACCAGGAGCTTCTCAAAGAGAACATCCTGGTCGAGTGCTCCTTCCGAGATCTCTCGTGTGGAAATTACATCCGCCCGTCTGTAACTCCTCAGCCCCCAACCGCTAAGCTCTGATTCCTAGGTGCCTCCAGGGCTTAGTTTCAACCCTGCTGCGCCTTTGTGGTGCATCGCATCGCTTATAGTCGACAAGTCCTAGAGTCTGCAATAGAGTCTTGGCACTCATGCCTCAAATATTCTGGATACAAGCCTTTGTCCCCGATGCTTTTTCCATGAAGCCCAGAAGCCTGCTTGTAGGGTTTAGCCCTCGAGCCGGACGTTGCGCCGCACTCCGACCCCATCCGGGTGCCGACCATCCATTGCCAGATGCATGTGCCATGCCGATTCCATCCGATCTCGCAGAGCATCCATGCGCCAACCATGATAACGTCCAGATCAGACTCCATCCGAACTGGCAGAGCAGTCATGTGCCAGCCATGGTCACGTCCAGATCAGACTCCATCCAGCCGATCTCACAGAGCATCCATGGACCAACAATGATAATGTCCAGATCATTTGGATAGGCTTAGTGCTGATCCTTCTGAGCAGCCCCACGACAAAGACCCTTGGTCGATTCTGTGAACTTGCCGAACAAACACATGCATTTATAGAGCTGAAAAATGCCTGAAATAGCCCTTTGAGTATGCCATAAGAAACTCCTGCAATGTGCATGAAGTACCACGCCTGCCGTTAGAATCGACTTGAGGCCTCGACAAGAGTCTCAAGGGCTAAGAGCCGCGGGGGATGTTTTAAAAAAGTAGCCCCCTGGCAAAATCGAGGTTTGTGCTGCTCGCAACCGTCGAAAGTGCTGCACCTGCCAGCAAAAACAGCATCTGCATGCAGCCCTTCAATCCTTGCCTGCGGCACAACGCGCGGTACGAACGTTTAGGGCTTATCTTAGGGTTTACGGTTCATGACTTTAGGGGTTTAGGGTCTAGGGCTTTTTATTTTCGAGGTTTAGGGCTCTGGTCCAGGTATCGTCCGGGCATGGGCTCCGTGACCTTTGTCTCGCACGAGTGGTCGGGCCTCCTGCATCCTGACCCTGAGTCACTCGGACGGATGCGGGCTTTGTGAAAGATCTCTCAAATTCAGGGACAAAAGGGCTTCAGGGATTTAAGGGGGCTCATGTAATTTGATCATAATGTTTTAGAACGTTTTTGGGACGGGCAGTTCAAAACTATGGCTCCTCCAAAGGGTCCTTAGCATTGTAGCTTCTTTTTACACAAACTGTTTGGGGTCGCCATCTAAGCTTTCGACATCCCGTGGGCAACATCGCCACCTGAGATCGTAAAGTCTCGGGGGTAATTGCTCGGGCATTACTAAGCTATGTAGACGGTTCCTGTTCGGGAGAATTTTTCGCAGTTAGTCCTTTCAGGGGAAGACGCACTAAATTTATAGGCCCGGGCCCCCGAGACAAATTAAATTCGGAACCCCCACCCCATCCACCGGAACCTTGGACCTTGGACCCCCAAAAGCAGATTAGAAGCTCAACAAGGCCCGAATCGGACAGGAACCCCAGTGCGACCGTATTCAAGAATGATCTGTAAGCTTCAAGCCGAAAGCACTCCAAGGTAGCTGCGTGGAGCCCTACTTGAATGTTTCGGGTGTTGCTAACATGTTATAAGTGGTTGGTACAATTGCGAGGGTTAGCTAAGCAACTTAGGGGCTTTATTAAGGGGGTTTAGCGAAGTTAGGCTAAGGGGTTAGCAACCTGGAAACTAAGTATATCAATGGTGAAATTTATGGTTATGTAATAACAGAACATGAAGATTTGAGAAGTGAAATCTCAAAACTGTTTTCGGTAATTTGCGAGTTAAAAGCAAAGAAAACAAAAGTCTACAGCACAAAAATCAAAGAATGAACAAAGCGAGAATACAGATCTCAGAGGGTTGAAAATTAGAATCAACCCAACTAGCTGTTCGAGAAGCAAACAAGCATGCAGCTCAACTGGCTCCAGCAAAAGCATGCCTGCCTGCAAAAGTACCGTCCAAATCCCATTCGTCGTCTGCGAGATGCATGACATGGAGTATTGTTTTGTTGCATGCATGCATGGCAGCATGTCACGGAGCATTGCATGCTGCATGCATGCCATGCACATGGAGCCTGCTCGAAGGCTTGCATGAGGCTTGCCATGAAGCATTGCATGCTGCATGCATGCCATGCACAATCGAGCATGGAGGCATTCTTGCTACAATCCTGCTGCATGCATGGCATGCATCATGGAGCACGATCGCATGCATGATGCATGTCCATGGAGCACTGCATGCTGCATGCACTGCATGCTGCATGCATGACATGGAGCATGCATGGCATGCATGGAGCATTGCATGCTGCACATGGAACATGAAGGCTTGCATGATGCTTGTCAATGGAGCCTTGCATGCTGCATGCATGCCATGGGTACGAAGCATGAAGGCATGCATGATGCATGTCGTGCATGCATGCTATGCACAACATCGGACATGAATGCATACGTACTACAATCATGCTGCATGCATGCAAGAATAAACACAGATCGTGGAGCATCAGTTGCATGCATATATAAGCATGGCTGCTGCGATTTTCTTGCCGGCAACATCTTCAAGCCATGCTGTTGCACAGGTGGCGGGGTAGCAGGGTGGTGAGAATGCCTGCATTGTTATTGTAAACTACACTGCACAGGAAAGCATCAACCTGCATGATGGATAGGGCTTCACCTGCAATCCTCCACTTGGCCACTTGCTTCACTGCATCATGGGAAACATACTCGCATCTGGACACAACACCTGCAACATAGCCGTCCACTTCGATAAGCCATTGGAGTCGGCCACAGCAAAAGGGGATGGGTGATTCATTGTCGGCAGCTGCATGGTGCAAAACAACATCACCGGTATGCAAGACAGCACCAGAAGCTAGCCGGCACTCTTTGCTGCAGTTGCAGGAATCACTCTCAGACACGATGTTGCTCTGCAGAAGTTGTGCCATTACTTTGGCGGATACGGGGTGAGGCTGCAGGAGATGAGGGCCAGCTCGAAATGGAGTGTCGCTCGAAAGCAAGGCAAGCTGTTCAGCATTTGTCTCCTCCAATAACCCTTGTTCAAAGTTGGTGGTGTTGCTGGTAGCTGTGCCGTATTTTCGCACTGATTTGTGTTTTCGCTCCAGTGTCCAGCATGCTGGCATGCATCGAAATCGTGACAGACATGCCTCAAAATGTAAACACCAATGAAACTTCGGAGCCATCTGGTCTCCCCACCCGGCGGCGACGGTGAGGGACAATGCTCGCTCGACAGTCTGCAACAAAAGGCCTGCTGGAGGCAGTTGTAGTGTACAAGCTATCAAGATGGCCAAGACTTCCAACCAAGACAAGCAAGCTTCCTTTGCAAGAGTGTCATCCGGGCTGGGGCAGCAGGTATGCAAAAAATATTCTAAAGGCTTTGAAATTGCTAAAACCTCAGAGGCTGAGCATTTGATGTAATTTGCCTTCCTGTGTGCCTTCATCTTCTCCTGGCTGAACAGCTTGTGCAGTGCCGCTGCTTTCTGGGCTTTCGGCCATTGCCAGAGTTGCAAGTAGTCATGAAAGGTAGCAGCTTTTCCAGTGGCTTCCAGCACCCACAGGATTATGCAGTTGAGGACTCCCATGCTGCATAAAGAATGCATCCAATCAAAGCAATATTGCGAAGCCGGCCGCAATACATTCAGACTTCGTAGAACAGTGCTCATCATCAGGGCATGCGGCGAGAAAGACCACCCACAAGCCTGTTGCCACTGTTGGAACTTGCTTTTGGACTCTGTCCGGTGTCTTGATTCCATTCGTTCCCACGATTCCAAGAGCTCATCGTCTGTAGCTTGATGGCATGCATCCCATGTCAAATGTTTTGCCGATATCTTGACATCATCCTCAGAGCTTTTTGACCGTAGGGAAAAGATGTTCTTACAAAGCATGCAAACTCTCGAACCGGCATCTTGCCGGTTCGAGTATGTGTGTTTCTGTGCACTTCCGTCCTGAAGTGTCATAGCAAGTGTAAAGAATAGTCTGATGCTTTTGCTCGGCCCCTTCAATGCCAAGCCATGCTCTGGATTTCCGAACTCGTTGGCAAACATGGACTCAAGCAGCAACCTCAAACATTGGCCTATACCAGCCGACACCTTCTGCACCAGTTCGGTTCTGACCACCATCAGTGTAAACCAATGATGCTCGTTCGAAAGCAACTTCGGTGACAGCTCCAGAAACGAGAAATACACCGCCCAGACTTTTCGCCCTTGGGAGGACAACTGATTGCCCGGGTGTACTTCATCGGAATAAAGGACCCCCCGCCAGGGGGATCCTATGCTGGATGGTGATGCTTCGTGCACATGATTCAACATTTGGTAAAAATAACCACCTGCTGCATACATGCCCTGAATAAGACTCGCCAGGTTGATGCATGGTATGTTAAGGTCTGCACCGGCCAGTGACTTCGCCGGAAGTTGTTGCACAAGGGCCCCATAGGCAGTGCAACTTGCAATGGCCTGTTTCACTGCTTGCTTCATGTCATGCCTCGAATGCTTTTCTGGAATTCCTTCCTTTTCGACCAAACTCAAGATGCAACTCAAAGCTGAGCAAGTAACAAAAGGCAACTGCCTTCTGAACCCATCCAATCTCTGTAGTTTGGCCGAGCGAGAGCTTTCTGCTTCGTGCCCCCGCTGTTGCTTCTTTCTAGGTGCCGAAGATGTCGATGCAGCTTCCATCTTGCTTCGAAACAATGCACAAAGAATGCTTCATGCACTCTTTGTGTATACAGTTCTGTCTATGATGAAGGTATAATATATGTCTCTATATATGTGCATGCATGTGTAAGCTTGTGTGTGTGTATGCATTTACAAATATACGTGTATGTATATATGTATGCATGCATGGCAGTATATATGGATATGTATGTACATAAATGTATCTATATGTATATAGACCTGCAGATTGTATGTATGTATGTCTGATGTATGTATGTGCATGCATGTATGCATGTATGCATGTATGTTCAAGTATATATGCTGCAACGAAGGAACCTGTATGTATATACCTATATGGGTAAGTATGCTTGCATATACATATGCATATAGACACACGAACACACGAAAGCGCTTTCATATATGCAGTACAGAGGGTTGCATACCTTTCACATGCAAGTTACTCTTACAAAAACTTCGGGGCAAATGTACCTTACAAACACTCATAGTCTGAAAAGAACCTACGTAACATTGTATAAACCGCAAACACTGAACCGTAATACTAAAAAAACCTTACAGATAGACTTTATAGTCTTCCTTGTGCCCGATTGCACATGCATGCACGGCCTGAACTGATATAGCCATGCACGGACATGCTCATGTAGCATCTGAAGGCAACATGCAGACATGGCAACAACACAAGCTGCAAGCATTCATGTTTGCCTGGCATTGCAAAAGTCCCCGGCACGATCATGTCATTCCTGACTTCGCAGCATGCATGTATGTGCACACCCTTGCCCCATGAGTGGATCAACTGTACGATCACTCCAAGCTGCATGCAGTTTCTGCAAGCAAGCTAAAACAACAATCTAGCAAAGCTTTCGCTTTTGCTGGTGCATATAAGCCTTCCAAGCTTCTCTACCAACCAACCTCATCCCCGCAAAGTTCGGGTTCTCGCAAACATCACAGCCGCTACCTCGGCATCGCTTGCAACCGTAGCCCTCTGCAGCTTTCTTAGCAGCAGGCTTTTTCATCACTTTCTTCGCCTTCGTCTGATGCTTGTCCTTGTCGCCGGTGGTCTGCTTCTTCATGGGATTGTTCTTTTTGCCGGTGCCCTGCTTCTTCATGGGATTCTTGTTCTTTTTGCCGGTGCCCTGCTTCTTCATGGGATTCTTGTCCTTTTGGCCGGTGCCCTGCTTGTTGGAATTCCTCCCATTTTTGGTCTTCTCTTCAACCTCGATCATTGCCTGCTTCTCGTACTCCTCCAACGACAAGTTACCCGAGCCCGCTGCATGCCCCTTCTGCTGCAAAGCAGGCGGGTCCTGCACTCCCGGTGACGGGCTGCTGCTGCTGCTGCTGCTCTGCAGCTGCAGACGGCTGGTTCGTTAGTGGCAAAGCTAGCTGCTTGCTTACATCCTCCTTAGACAAGCCCTGCATGCCGTCGCCTGGCCCATGGTTGCCATCCTTCACATGGTCAAAGAAAGTGATCTTGGCACCACTGCTCGAGCTTTCTTTGCCACCCTGCAGGGCGGCCTGCCAGTTGCCACCCAACAAGCTTTTGAACAACTCGAGGAGTCGGTCCTCAACCTTGTCCACCAAGGGTTGAAGCTTCTTTTTCGAGCAACTGGAAAGGAGCTTGCTGGTGGATCGCATCGGGCACTGGGCTCCTAGCTCGAAAAGCTGTGGGAGATCTACCATCGAAGGTGGGTCTTTGGGATAGGCTCTGGACAGCCAATCTTTGTCCAGGTCTGTAGGGAGGTGTGGGTACTTCTTCAAGCCCGAAACCATGCAGCCCGAGGGCTTGTGGGCAGCGAACAAGAGGCCGAACTGTTGTGCCAGACCATATATTTCGTCGGCACTGGGTTTGCTTTTCCCGTGCCACATGATGGACTGTACGATTAATGCGACGGCGGCCCGCTTCGTTGTTTCTTTGAGAGACTTCACACCGAGGGCAGACAACCTTCTGATGATGATATGGGGAACGTCATACAAGTTTCCTTGCATTACATCCATCATCTCAGCCTTGGTCAAATAGGCGGGGAGATTGACCAAGGTCTGTGGTGTCTTCACAATGGCAGACCCACCTTCGTTTGTCGTACCTGTGGATGCACGAAGCAAAAGCGAATCCTTCAATATGGTCTTCAGCTCATCTGTCAAGGTACTGTGGTCAACCTTCTCAAGCATGGCACAATAGTCGCCAGCAGTCAGCTGGCTGTGATCACACTTTGTCAACAGAGCCTTGACCAGCCCCTCCTGCAGACCCTGGTTTGGGTTGAAAGCAAGCAGCTTCTCGATGTCCCCTAGCTCCTTGACAAAGTCAGTGCCATTCCATGCCATGATGGAGATCAAAGGCTCGTGGGGCCACGAAGCAACACACCCAAGAAGCCAAGAAGCTACATGCATGTTCATGCATCCATGCAACAAAATAAAGGCATGCCTCAAGCAATGTGAGAGATAATGCGGCCATGCCTTCATGCCTTCAGTGCACAGCACTCAATCTTCAACAGTGCACCATGCTCTCTTGTGAGTGTTCCTTCTTCTCCCTTCTGTGTATACCCTGGTTTGGCCTTCTCTTAGGCTATTGTTCTTCCCCCGCATAAAGACCGGGTCTCTGCCAATACATGAGTAAGTACATAATATGCGACAAAGCACTGTAATTCAACATAATACACAGTAACAATATCATATATAGTTTGATACGTAGTATTATTCAATGGGGTTCAATAATGTGTATATATATATATATACATATGTATATATATATATAAGTCATGTATACATATATAGATAAAATGCTATATGTGCATACATATAATTCTCATATATATATATATATATATATATATATATATGCATATGCATATGCATATGCATATGTATATGTATATGTATATGTATATGTATATGTATATGTATATATATATATATATGTAACTGTATATGTATGTATATGTATATGTATATGTATATGTATATGTATATGTATATGTATATGTATATGTATATGTATATGTATATGTATAGGTGGTGGTGGTGGTGGTGGTGGTGGTGGTGGTGGTGGTGGTCGTGGTGGTGGTGGTGGTGGTGGTGGTGGCGGTGGTGGTGGTGGCGGCGGTGGTGGTGGTGGTGCATGCTGGTGGTGCATGGTGGTGGTGCATGGTGGTGCATGGTGGTGGTGGTGATGGTGGTGGTGGTGGTGGTGGTGGTGGTGCATGGTGGTGGTGCATGGTGGTGGTGCATGGTGGTGGTGGTGGTGGTGGTGGTGGTGGTGGTGGTGGTGGTGGTGGTGGTGGTGGCGGTGGTGGTGGTGGTGGTGGCGGTGGCGGTGGTGGTGGTGGTGGTGGTGGTGGTGGCGGTGGTGGCGGTGGGGGTGGTGGTGGTGGTGGTGGTTGGAGGGGTGGGTGGGTGACTGGGTGGGGTGGTGTATATTGTTTTTTCCGGGTGTGTGGGTGGTGCTAAGTGCATGGGTGTCACAGTTATGATGGCTTCCAGAGCCAATCCCATGAGATTAGTTTACTAGTGAAAGGATAGTATGATGCATGAATACTAAGCAACCCACCAAGCACACGAATTCAGCTGGATGAATTCGGTGCCCAACCCTCGGCCACCGAATTCAGCTGGATGAATTCGGTGGCCGAGGGTTGGGCACCGAATTCAGCTGGATGAATTTGGCGGCCGAGGGCTGGGCACCGAATTCATCTGGATGAATTCGGTGGCCCAGGGTTGGGCACCCAATTTAGTGGGATGAATTTGTGCACCCTGTTGTGTTGCTGGCCTAGCCTGTCCCAGGCTTCGGCACACATCGCGAAAAAAACCAACCACATGCCATGCCATGCAGCCCGGAGGCTCACAACTGTGTCGTGTCAAGCCAAGAGCATGCAAGCACAAGCTGGATTTGCTGGAGGTATTCGGGGGCTGTTTGAAGGTTCCGTGTCCATGCACGAACATGCATGTAGCCTGCTGGCTCCCAAGCTCGCACGTGCAAAAGAGCAACACAATCATGCAGCCCAACTGGCTCCGTCTTGTCATGCCAAACAAAACAACAACCAAAACACATGGCTGCAACTGCAACACACTAAATCCAGTCGAGTTTCTGTGGCTCGCCGTAGCCATAGAACATCATGGCCATGCAGGTCTCGCCAGCATCTCCAGGAAACCACTGCCAGAACAGGTCCTGCTTGCAGCGGCTCATTCTCTCCTCGTCGTAGAGGTCAGCAAAGCTATCTGCAGCAGTCGGAGCCGGCGGCGGCTGGGGAACATCAGCAGGTGCAGCTGTCGGCACAGCAGGAGGCACCGGAACATCAGCAGGTGCAGCTGTCGCCACAGCAGGAGGCACCGCAGGAGGTGGCGGTGTCGGCACCGGTGCTGCAGCCATTGCATCCGAAGAGGAGCCGGCCATCCTTAAATAGTATGTAATGTATGATGCATGCATGATGCACACGTATGCAGCATGCATGCGATGCTCACCTGCAAGTTCTGCCTTGAGCAGCTTCCCGGCTGCCTGTGCATACACAAACATGAGTTCCATGCTGCATGCACAGCCACTCACTCAATCAGGCACTCCAACCTGCTGCTCTGCATGCTTCTGGCAAACAACACTGGCGAACAAACTGCACTCAATGTGGGCTGCCTGCACTGTCTGCATGCTGCACTACACTCTTGTATTTTTTGCTCGAAGAGCCATTGCACTCCACAGCAATCAGGAAGGGCTGCCTGTGGGCCGGGAAGAGGCTCCCCCTATACAGCAGACGTGCAATCGCCCCTGCACTCGACCAGGAAGAAGTTTGCATGCTCTGTATGTATATATATATATGTGCACATGCAATGCAAGTCTCCTATATATAGTGCATGTTACATGATGCATTTGCATCGAGTAGCAAGAGGATTGCAAAAACACACCAGGGGTGCCCAGCTGCTAGCAGCATCAGACTAGAAGTCATACTGCTCGTCGAAGCCCTGGTCCGTGACCCTCTGTACGTGGTTCTCCAGTAGATCCTTGAACTGCTTGTCGCCCGTGCAGAACCTGAGATAATCATTTCGAGGTTTGGTTTGCTGATGTGGGTTCAGGGTTTGGGGTTAAGGGTTAGGGGTTGTGGGTTTAGGGTGTGTGGGTGTGTATCCACGGTTCATTATCCTTTCTAGGGTGTATGTATGTTGCCGGCTCTTGGCTCGGCCAGGTTGCCGGCTATATGGGTTCCATATAGGGAAAACAAGACCTCTATGCGCTTTTATTCCTGCCCTCTAGGTGTATCGGAGACTAAAGACCTAGGCTTATCTAGGAATCCGATTCTGAAGCTTATGGGTTCCTTGCACCGGGAAACACACTGTTATAGGGCTTGGTGGTTTGGGAAGTTGACGTGCTGTTGCTTTGGCTTTTGGGGCTCATGTGCACAACCGGCAACACCATGGTTTCGGAAAGGCACTTGTCCACCAGGTAGTTCAGCCTGTCGTGGTCGTTCATGATCACTGCCTGGGCTGGGCCACTGCATTGCAAGCTGTTTCATACATTTTTGCACGAAACGTGTTCGTGCATATGTAGCTATATAGCTCCCATCAACCAACATGAAGCCTGCATGCATGCTTTCAAGTCGCCTGGGTTTTGTATTCACATGAATGCAACCCATGTACATGCATGTGTTCATATGGCATGAATGCAACCATGCACATGAATGCAACCCATGCATTGTGTTCACATGACATGAATGCAAGCCATGCATGCAACTGTGCACCAAAGCTGCTCCAGCCATGGCCACCGCTTTGGGCTTCCACCCACCATGGTGACTCTGCCAGGAACCCACGAGGCCTCGCGAGCCCTTTGCACCACCTGCTGGAGGACGTGGTGGTGCCGGTGGGGACGGTCCCATAGGCCGTGGTGCCGGCGGAGGGTTCACCTCCGAAAACCCGGGTTTACATATAGGGTTTATGGGGTTTTACAAAAATTGAGAGTTTTGGGTTGATACCAAATGTTTCGATATCATCCTGGCCTCGCCCACTCGCCTCCTCTTGGATGCATCTTGAAGCTCCAGCTGCAGCGACTCATTGTGCAGCTTCACCTGCTGCAGCTCATCCTCCAAGACTTTCTTCTGGAAGAGCAGCTCCTGTATGCACTCTTTCATAAAGGTGCAAGCCCCCTGGCCTCGTACTCGCACGATTCCCGAGCGACCACGATTCCACCATGGCGAAAAGACCGATCCCACTGGTCTTCGCCGTTCACCGCCACCCTCGATGCTGCACACCACTTCCACACCATCCCAACAGCCGGCAACTGACTCATCGGCGATGTGGTCGGCGACGAGGTAGGACCCGGTCTGGTTCGACCAGAACATATACCAGTGAGACCCGGGCTTCTTGAGAATCAAGCCATCATTGACCTCGACGTTCTGCAGCACCCAAGGGCCAACCAGGATGTCGAGGACATTCCTTGGCTGATGCACAGGACCATGCAACATGTCATGCCATGCCATGCATGCATGCATGCAGCCCAACTGGCTCAGCAACAAACAACAAGCAGCCCAACTGGCTCTATATATAGTACATGTGAATATGCATGGGGTGAGCACACGGTGTTCAAGAACATGCAACAAGCAGCCGAACCGGCTCCACAAGAAGTTGCCAATTGAACCACACGTGGCAAGAAGCTTGTTTTGTCCCGTCGACACGAACCCCTGCAGCCGACAGGTTCAAAGCAGGCAATCCTTGCATGCCCTGCTTTTCGGAAAACTATTTCTTCAGCTTGGCAAATTTACCAGTAGCATGATAGCCCCTCCGGCTGGAACAAGCACATGAATCACAATCCTCAGCCAAATACTCTATAAGATTAACCATGTCTGGCTCCTGCAACAACACAGCCGGAGAGGACTTCAGTGAAGACATCATGAAACATGCTTCTTTGCCATTCGGCAAAGTGACAGTTTTGATTGTGCAAGGCAAGACTGCACTAAGCTTTCTTTTCTTGCTGGCCTTCTGTGGCTCCTTGTTGTCGTCGAACAAGTCGGGTCCTGCATCCTTGGTCTGCTTGGGGCTGAACTCTTTGCAGAGCAACTCTAGCAAGGTCTTCAAGTTGGCACTGCCGGCGATGGACATGTTCTTGGTAGCCATAGATGTGCAAGGGCAAACTAGTTTGCAAATTGAACGGTGGCTGCCAATGATCTTCACGAAGTGCTGCTCGCCATCTTGCACAACCAAGTCGGACGGCAAGGTGATCACATGCCCCTTGTGTTTCACCTGAAAAATCTTCTCGATGGAGAACTCGTTGTCAGGCGACTCAGCATCCGACATGGTGCTCTCACAAATCAAGCTTTACTATCTGGCTACTGTCAGCAGAAGATGCTTCATGCAAATTGCAATCAATGCTGGCATGCCATGCTATATGATGTGCACGTGCAATCCATGTCTGCATCCACACAAGTCGCTAAGCAGCCTTCAAACTTTTGTCAAGCATTCTGAAATGCATAGCTCAATCCATGGAGCAAAATTTGCAGTTCGATCCTGCAACCACATGGTGCTTCTATATACAGCTTATAGCTGGTGCCTGTGCATGTTCCTAGCTTGCTTTCCTCTTCTTGGGAGCAGCCTTGGAGGCTTCCTTAGCAAGCAAAGCTTCAGCTGCATGCAACAGGAGTTCCCCCTTTCTGATAGATCTCGAATTGGTGTAGCAAGGGATTGCCAGACCCCCATGCTTAGCATTGGTCAGCTGCATGTTAACGGCCTCAGCATCCATCGATGGCTTCACGTACCAGAACGGTACGAGCACCGACGTAGCAGTGACATTATCCATATCACCGACAGCCTTTGGCGGGCTCAAAGCATATCCCGAGACCTTGTGGCCAGGCTTGCCATCATCTCGTTTCAAATCACCATAAGCGATGAGTTTGAGCTTGCCCTTCGGGATGTTAATCGTGGCACAAAGGCCCGTGGGCGGGCTCACGAAGCTGAAGCCATCGACCTCCGGGAGATTCACGAACGTGTCGTAGAGCAGGATCTGCATTCGCTGCATGTCAATGGCCTCACCAGCAGCCGAGTTGTTCTCCACGAGGTACTTCGACCAAGCCGCCTGGTCCACTACCTGCACAATCGCCTTCTTCGTTTTCTTCCACTGCTTCAGGTCATCGGACAGTGCAATGGCCACTGTCCATGCATCTTGCATTAGGGGCCGATGTTCAAACCTGCACAAACAACATGCAACATCATGTGCATGCTTTCATGCAGTATGCAAGCAGTCCATGCTCAAGCATGCAGTACATCATGCAATTCAAGTTCAAATCAACTACCAAGCTACTTCGCCGACGTGTCGTTCAGCTCCAACAGCTGAAACACCTGGGATCCGTAGTCGCTGTGCTGATATAGGCCTCCGACCTCCAAATGTGGATGCTGCATCATAGCAACGGTTGATGGGCTAGCCTCCAGCAGGTTCGCTACCTTCGAGGGGCTTGCGGTCGGAGCTGCACTGGAACTCGTGCCCTTAGGACCCAAGAGCTCGGTGGCGAGTGCCTGGTTGATCTCCTCCAAGCTATTCCATTCTTTGTTCTCTCGGTCGAACTTTTGCTTCTGGCTGAGGTATAGCACTGTTCGCACACAACAGCGCCCGAAAACGGTGTATCGCTCACCATCCTTCAAGGGTGCATTCTGTGTGGCAACCCATGCATCCTTCAGAAGCCTCTCTGCTTCAAGAAGCTCGGGTTTTGATTTGGATTTGATGCGGTCCAAATCAGCTTTGACCAGTAGCTTCGCAAACTGGTCTTGGACTTTGGGTGAGGCCACCTGTGCAGCCATGCAAGCCACTCTGAAGCATGGGGCCAGGTTGGCCTCAAGCTTAAAGTCAAAATATGTGATCAACTGAGTGAACTCTTGTCCGAGGCGAATGCTCTGGCCGTAAAGCTTGCCTCGCAAGTTCCATGCTGTGCAAACCTATATGCATGCATGCAATCTGCATGTATCGAAAAGTCATATAAACTATATATGGCAAGACAAGCAACTAAAGGACACAAGGAAATCAACCAAAGGCATCTCGTCGCCCCCCGTGTACTTCTGAGCAAAGAATGCCACCGTCTCCAAGTACTCTTTGCAAGCCGGTTCCCCTTGCATCGTCGCTGCAGTGGCTTCTGCAACCGTCTTGCCCAACTTCAAGCAATTGCTGATCGTGGCAAGGCACTCGATCTCTGTCGAAGCCACACACACCGAGTTGTTGCTATTGAGCACAGACGAGTACAGCAACGGGAGACTCGGGAATTGGTCTTCCAAGGTATCAGCAAGAATCAGCCAAGTCCATCCTTGGCTCAGGCACCTTTCGACGGGCTGACCCTTTTTCATGAACGAAGAAGCATTCTTCACAAGGCCCTGCTTCATGGATTTCAAATAGCACGTGGAGTGAGATGAGCCAACCGTGAGAAACAAGTCGTCGCCAACCACTTCGGGCATCACCCCTTTGGCTTGGGAACAGCATTTCCGATTTGCTGCAAGTTGCTTGTCACGTTTCACTGCATTGCTGGACATGCAGAATGCTACTGCACTTGTTTCGAGCAAATCAATCCGCAGGCCTTGGCTCATCATCGTCTCCCCCTTTGTCACCATATCAAAGCTATTCATCATGGCACCTCCCCGATTTTGGGGATGTATGCAAAACCTCTCTGGTCCATGGACTTGCTTGGAGGCGAGCCCGTTGCTCAGCCACAAATCATTAAGCTCCAACACCTTGAGGTTCACTGCCGCATCCGATGCCATGATACGGTCAGCTTCTGCAATGACTGCCGGGGTCAATGCCATGGTAGGCCGCAAGTGTATATACGGCTTGCTATCTGAACTGCTTTCCAACCAAACACTGCACGCACCATTCATATCTAAGCAGCACATCATATATGCATGCAGCCCGTGGACTCCATGCATGCAGCCAACATAGCTCTCATGCAGATGCAAGACATGCAGCCCACATGGGCTCGAACATCAATCTTATGTATAGCCTTGCAAGCTAAAAGAACAATCAAGCAATCATGCAGCCAACATGGCTCTCATATATATGCAAGTCGTGCAGCCCGCATGGGCTCGAATATCAATCTCATGTAGCCCATGTAGGCTAAAGAACAATCAAGCAACCATGCAGCCCAAATGGCCCGCATGTATCATGCTAACCATGCAGCCCACAGGCTACAAAGCAAAGATGCAAGCAACCGAAACATACCATGTCATGCAACATGCAGCCAGATGTCGGCTAATGCAACCGCACAATATGCAACCGTGACCCCACAAATCTATCAGTTCACACAGGAAAAAAAGGGAACAGCAAGGAAATAATTGCAATTCCTGAAACCACAAAACAACAAAAACAAAGCAGCAAGATAGTGTTTTCCGATATAGGTTTTCCAAGTTAAAGGGGTTAGGAAAATTACAATAACCGTTTATGTAAATAGATAGTCAGAGTTGCAATTATTGAAAATTTAAACATAATTAGCGACTTTGCTAGAACCCCTGAGGGGGATACGTTTTTTGTTAGCACTTAAGTATGTGTTATATGCACATTAGATATGGGATACATGTGGTTTAGTAAGCCATGCAACCATTAAGCAACACCCCAAACATTCAAGTACGAATCCAGAAATCCCAAGGCAGCAGCAACTACAACCCTCAACCGCGCACCCAAAGGCTTATAAAGTTCGAACGAACGCCAACGCCACGAAGCCAAAAGTCAAGACTCCAAAAAGAACCGCCCGCCCAAAACCTTGATCCCTCAAAACTATCAAGCGCTGAAGAAATAAAAGGCCAAGCACCTTCGAAGCCTAATTTAGTCTCGAGTCCCCTGAACCCGAAAACCCGGAAACACAAAGCCTTCAACCCGAAAGGCCTTCAACCCAAGGGATATTAACCACTATTTGAGGCAGAAGCAGCTGCATGCGCTCCAAGATGCTCTGCGCGGTTTCCGAGACCGGTCCCTGCAGCTGACCTACGATCCAGTGCCACGGACGACAAGAAAATGCGCAAACCGGTGAGTATTTGATGCCTTTCAACTGGCGCAGCATTAAATGACAACAACAGCAACATGTGATGATGGTGGTGATTACTGATGACGGTGATAATGATGACGATGATGACGACGGGGTCGATGATGGTTATGGTGGTGGTGATGGTGATGGTGTCATGCCGGTGGTGATGATGATGGTGGTGATGATGATGTTTCGTGACGGCGACGATGACGGCGTTGTTGATGGCAGCGGCGGTGGTGGTGGAGGTAAAGAGGAGGAGGTCACGATCACGATAGCAATGACAAGAACAGTAATACTAATAACTGGAGGTCGCTTCGTATCAATTCGTAGCAAAACGTAACGTAACATACTCAACCCTGCTCTGGGTGTTTTAAGGCCCCAGATTTCCAAAATTACTTTGATTGGCTTTGGGTGGGGTGTCGGGGCTTACTTTGGTGTTTTCCGAGCATTGGAAAGGGGCGACTGACATGGGAGTTCCAGAAGTACTCCCAGAAGTAGTGCTGTTCGGAATGTTCAATTGCAAATCGGAAAGAGCTTCGCAAAGTACGTTCGCTTGGGTTCAGAACCAGTTGCCAAATCAGTCCAGTCCTCGTCTTCATATGCGCAAGCTCGAGTAGATATGTCTAGTGGATTCTAGTGGTGGAGCAGCCGAAATTTTCTGAACCCGCAAACATGTCTACCCTGATCATGTGGCATGGGCACGAAACCCTGAAGCATGGGTGCAGCTGAAGAAGCACTGGACCCAAAGCCCTAACTCCCGTGCTCTAGGTGGCATTGATGCGCCGATTTCAGATGCATGGCTGGAGAACTCAAGCGCTTTGCTAGGTTTTGCGAGTGTAGCGGATTTCGTCATTTGTCATTGGTGGTCGTCGCAAAGAAGGTCCAGAGACAGCACCATTATGCAAGATGGCTGTTACATGTGCTGGAGTTCAGTATTTCGCTGTAGGGCTCAGTGATCAGCATCTCGAGTAGCTCTCAAACTACAAAGGCTAATGCCCTAAACGCACCCAGCCTGCCCGAAAGGAAGACACTCTCCTACAACGAGTTGCAGGCATCGGTACTCGGCGTTTAGTTTGTAAAGAGGGTGTTTTTGACGGGCTTACAAGCACTAAACTATGCAAGCCCGAAGCTTGAAGCCTTAGCTTTGGTCCTGGTCAAGGGCCGGGTGAGAGTCTGGAGTCTACGAGTCTAGGGCTAGGCAGGAGCAAAGAAGAGATGAGGTGTACTTCGTCTGCGTCTCTACGTCAGTTGCGGTGCGGGTCTGCGGGTTGCAGAGGGGGTTTGAAGACTTCACGGAGCTCAGCACCCATGTTTGCTGTGTTCCGTTGTTCAGACATGCAAGAGCTCCGTTGCGGCACACAAATGGCTGTCTCAAATTGATAATTACCGCTGCTGCACAGCTCTTGCCCCAATACCGCTTTGTTTCACAACCACCGAAGGCTAAGAACCCTAAATCCGAGTCTCCTTCTTGAAGTCCTTGTACAACTCTTCTACAAGCAGTCTAGCACTTGCCCTTCAGCATCCCTAAACGCTAGACCGTAAACCGTACGCCTCTTAACCCCTAAACCGAGAAAAGCCCTAAACTTCGAACCCCTGAGGCCCCACAGCACCAAAACAACCCAGCGCCTCCGGTCAGAAGCTGTCTCGCGGATGGCTCTGGATCGACTTTTTGAGTATCCCTCAGTAGCTCGGCCGGGGCTTGAGGGAGAGAGAGAGAGAGAGCCGATACAGATTTGAAGGTTTAGGGTAAAGTTTAGGAGTTTAAAGCTGAGGGCTCTCGGCTTCGAGGTCTTGGGGTTCTGGGGTTTCCGGGCTTGGGACTTATAGGGTTTAAAACCCAGGATTTAGATTTAGAGTTTGGGGTTTATCGTATAAATATAGGTTTCAGAGTTTAGGCGTTTCCTGTACAGGTTCCTATAAGGGCTCCCTTGAGGGCAAGCAGACAAGCTGAGATTCGTTGGGGGCGTTCTCTGCCTTGAAGGTTTCATTGAAGTGCTTCATGGGCGCCGTGGCTGAACCCGGGATTCAGAACTGGTTCCACCTCTGTACCTTTGGATCCATTTTTGAATTCATTGCGTTTTAAGGTATAGGCTTCGTTTGCTTAAGTTCATCCCAACAACATAGCCTAAACCTAATTAACCCTCACGGCCTGTGACCCTCGCGGCTTTCCAAGCTCAGGCGCTGTGCCTGCGAGACCGACGAGGACGGACGAATATCTGTATAAAACATAAGACTGGCCACAACACTAATTCTCCAAGATGTGGCCTTATGTAGTGGTGCTTATGAGAAGGATCCTAGCAGTCGGCCTCCATGAAAGAGTCCCTTTTCTGAAACTCCCATTACAGGAACCCCTAAATTGAAGTATCTATGATAGTTACCAATACTATTTTGGGGATTGATTATCAAACTTTGTTATGATGGGCCCCGAAACCCTCTTCTGATTGTCGGTACTTGGGAGCTTTGTGTGTTTGCTGCAGGACCGGCAGCAACAGCAGGAGCAGCTGCGGGAGGCCATCGAAAGCTTGCATACGCATCTCGGAGGAAAATTATGGGTTTTGAGGCTTGTTGCAGTCGGCTGGTTTGGGTTTTCTGATTATGGTGTGGGATGGGGTGTTAAAGCCTGAGGGCGTATAGACTTGTTGGCGGATGTTCAGGGTTTCCAGAGCTTCAGGGTTTGAGGTCGAGGGCTTTTTCCCTGAATAACCTAAATGCCGTCTAAACCCAGGCCCCCCGTTAAGGTTGTGAACATTAACCCAAAATGGTAAGCCCTCGCAAGAGGCTTCTGGCCAAACTTATGGTGTCTTAGCAACTCATAAAGATCTCTCAGCCTACCGCCAACATAGAACCCTTGCGCGAACCTTTTGAGGGACCCTGGCAGAACCCCTGGGCCCTAAACCCTGTATAGCGTGCAGACGGAAAAGAGCGCGTAACAAAAAAAAAACTGTATAGAGCCATAAGTCCTAAACCCCCAACCGTATCCCGAAAGCTGCAGGTATGTGGCCCATAGCTCCTATTTCCTCATCCTCGCGCCGGTGCAGCATCATGAGCAGGGCCGGCTCATGGACTACAGCCTCTCCGGCTGAAGCGGCGGAAAGCTGAAGTCTTCAGGCTTCGTAGTGGTTTCAAGCTTTGGGCTTAAGGGTTGGCTCTCAGGGTTATGTTGATGCGTTGAGTTTGTTTTTCGTGGTTTTCAGTTCAGGCTTTAGGATTGAGGGCCGTTCTGGCCGAAGAATGGGTATGCCTTATTTGGAATACAGGTTTGGCCCAAGGCCAGAACAGATGACTGCTAGCTGTTGGGTATACCTGCGTTCGCTGTTTTGCATACGAAACCAGGGACGAATCCAAGATGCATATTAAATGAGATGAAATGAAACAAAGTCAAACGGAAAGAAAGCCAAGGGAATGACCAATACCAACGAACGTTGTCCTCCTAGCTAGACTCCTAGACTAACAGAACCCCTGTCTCTAAGTCCTGATATTGGCATCCGAATCATAACTCTTATTGAGGGACCCGGGCTCCTGAAATCTACATTACATTTGCCTTTACCTTAACCTCATGTCAAGGCTCGTGGAAGTCACGTGGCTGGCGCCTGGGACGAGTGGTGGATGTCGCAAACCATGGCACTTTGCATTGCTTGTAGGCACCTGATTTAGAAGCCAGCAACAGTTCCACTAATATTCCTGAGCTTTCCGTAATATAAGCATAGACAAGTATAGTGGGCCCCGAAACCCTGTTCTAATTGTGAATCGTCCTTGTGGCTACCGCAGCAACTTAGCGCCCACCATTCTCACACAACTCCAGTACCTTCACTTAACACCTGCTCTGCGGCAGCTATTTTCAGTTTCGTTTAAGGTTTATGGTCATATGGAGACCATAGTTGGGCTTCTGAGGCCCACTGGATTCAGTAACGACACGCTGTACATATGTGTTACCGTTTCAAGGTTCCAGTGGGTCGCATCACAAAACCAGATGACTTAAACAACGATCGCTAAGCCGACGTTGAAAAGTTGAAAAGATCATGCAAAGGAGAAACAGAGTTGGACATCTTGGCACCTCCCCAACCTGAAGCTACTAAGTCTCAGGGTTCCGAACGCTTCGGGTTTGGAGTTTGAGGATTTCAGTGTTCAGGGCTTCCTGAGACCCGAAAGAACTGACAGTTAAACTTCCCAATTAAACTCCATGCCCCACCAAAAAGGCCTTTAAACCCGTTTCCCCCAAAGCTTTCCCAAACCCCGACCGATCGCAAGGTGTCAGTTCGAGTTCACGGTGAACGTTATCATGGGTGCCAAACCTGCAGCTCGCCGGTCTTCTAACCCCAAAGTCAGAGAGCCCCTACAGTGCGCATGAACTGTCAATACAGCCCCAGGCAACAGCAGCCATACGGTTTTCAACTGTGGCCGTTGATTGCCACATTCCTGTGGTAAGAGTACTATCTACATGGATTCGTTGGGAAAACTGGATTCTTAAGGCTGCTAATTGCTCGGCTGGGTAAGTACCCTGCCTCCATTCTGCCACAACCTGAGCTGGAGCTCAAAGCCTTATAGTCCCACACAGACCTCCAATCAATCACTGACGAACCTGCGCAGTTCCAACTCATATGTACCCTGAACTCTTTAAGCCCGAAAAACAAGCTGAAACTCTTATCATGACCATGAAAAGCTCACACTTAGCCCGAACGACTGCTCAAGAGCCCGGCTCCGAACGTGAACCTGAGCCTACTCAGGTCTTTCTGGTTCAGGGCCTGCGTGCTGTGAAGAAGGCAGCATTCCGTAGTTGGGGTTTCAGTCTCGGGTTTATATAAGGAAGGGGGGTCACCGGTGTCTTTTTTTGGGGGGTCACTTGTGTCTTTTTTTGGGGTTCGCTTGTGTCTTTTCTATTGTCCGGAAGCAACAGTCTCGAACGGGAGGCCCCTTGGTAGGACTTATGCGTTTACCTCTACCTATACATATACGTATATACCTATACCTATGCATAGTCTTTCTTTCTCATGTTGGTGTCTTCCTGAGCTGCGGTGCTGACCAGGTAGAGTGTACTACGTAGCGAACGCTCCCAGATCCTATGTGCGCCGCAATAATCGCAAGCAAAACATGTGGCATTTACGGCATTCGTTGTCAGACCCATGCGGAAGTTGTCAGCCCAACTACTTTCGCGAGTGCGAATCTTCAGCCAGCAGGAAAAACAACGTGTAGCAATAGCTCAAATGACATACCGCCCATACTGCGCATACACCCCCTCCCCCGCCCGCACCCCCACCAGCCCCCAGCCCCAAGCCCCCCCCCCGCCCCCAAATCTCCCTATCAGTACCCAAGGCCCTCCGGGGAACCCTTGTGTAATCTTGTCTAATAGTAATGCCTGTCTAACAGCAAAGCCCCTCTGTGGCAGCAAACCTTGTCTCACACCAACACCTGTCCAAAAGCATCTATCAGCAAAGCCCCTCTGCGTATAACAGTAAACAGTACAGTAAAGCCCGTGTAGCAACAACCCAAATGACACATCGCGCTTACCCACCAACCCCTCAAAAAACACCAAGCCAAGCCATATTGAATCAGAACTGCCTATCACCCAATTAATGGCTTCCTGGGAACCTTGTGCAACAACAAGGCCCATCCGACAGCAAAGCCTGTCTAAAGGCAAGAACAAACCCGGAACGTCTGTGCAGCAGAAACCCAACCAGGCCTGTGTAACGCAGAAACCATAAGAGTGTCTAAACTGAAGGCCAGTGTAAGCAGAAACCCGTCAACAAAAAATCACCAGATGTAGTATCTCGCATTCGCACCAGTCCTATCCTGAGAAAGAAGAAATAAAGAACTAAGCCATACACAACCCCTTGACCCTAAACCCAAAATCCTGAGGCAGAGTATGGTCTTCCATTCGGGCTATTCCTGTCGTCAGAAAGCATAATGGACCACTAAAGCCCAACATGTACGAAATTGAAAAAGGCGGAGGTTTCTACCAGCCTGGCTTATCTTGCAATGTTCTCCGCTCAGAAGCTTCATGGCTAGAACTGGTGTTGCTGAGTTGTGACGTGTAACTGAGGTGTGCCACCACCAGGGCTGGCTGGCTGAACTAGACAGCAGCTGCAGCCCTCAACTGATTTGTTCTGCGCTCGGTGGAGTTTACTGATTTCATGGTTTCATCAACACTTCTGGAGTCTTTGGAGCTTTTAGGTGAGGTATGTGCAAAGGGATGCGACTGCGTGTTCCATCTCGAGGTTCGCTTGTCACGTGCCTCGGTTTGCAGACGAGGATAGTGATACTGGCCAGGAGCAAATCGATTCGGGCGCTTGCACGGCTTTCCTCTCAGAAGCTTCAGCTGGCCTTGTTTTGTTGTGACGTGCAACTGAGATATGCGGATGTCTCGGGCTTCTTGCTGACTTTGCTCCAACTGACAAGACCTGCCTCGCGCTCGGTGGTATTTATTTTGCATCAAGACTTCTGGAGTGCTTGCAGCCTCCAGGTGAGAACTGCGCAATGAAGTTCAACTGAATAGCTGCACACTCAGCAATATTCAGGAGATCCCCGCAAGGTTCGCATTGAGTCTGCCGTTGTTTTGGCGTATTTAGTTAATTTCTGCGTAGCGAAGTGCCGTGTCTGGAAGCAAAGATGCAACCAGTTTTTCTTGTCCGGTGCTCGTGCATGAAACTGAATGGCTGCACGTACAGAGCAACGGATAATTATGGTACAGAACAGCGGCTGTCAGGGCAAAGCCAAGGCGCAAAGTTCGCATGGAGCCTGCAATTTTTGACGTAGATGTTCAGGTCATTCAGGTCAAACTGAATAACTGCATCAATTTCAAGTGAAGCAGCGGTGCCATTTTTTTGGAAGAAAAGATGCAACCAGTACTTCGCAGACAGCGACGTATGCATGGCCGACATGCTTTGCGTCGCTTGAGTGGATTTAGCAGCCATCCGAAGAAGATCTGGTGCCAGAACTCGACGATTGGCTACGAAAGTCTCGAAGCCCTAAAAGGAATAAACCGAGACCGAAACCCAAATGAAAGAACGGAGGAGTAAAGCAAAAAGAGGATACCCCGACCGAAACATTAAAATAAGAAGGCTCCGGTCCCTGACAGGAGCAAACGGAGCCAAAAACCGTAAAAGAAGTAGTCCCAGGCCGAAGGCGGAAAGGGAGAAAGAACACAGGAGCACACCCAGGCCGAAGCCTTGAAAGGAGTAAACCCAGACCGACAGCCCAGAGCTGGCCAAAAGGGCTTTCGCTCGAGACTGTTGTTTCGAAACAAGTAAAACAACATCAGTGACCCAGAAAGGAAAGACACAAGCGACCCAGGGGAAAAAATCACAAGTGACCCCAAACTTAAAGACAACAGTGATTGGGCACCCCACAATATAAGGTCTGTTCAGCTTCTGTTGGCGGGACTAATTGTGGATGCACACACGGGCCCGATTTTTCCCGGACCCCACTGTAATTCTGTGATTGTCAAAGGTAGGATCATACCCTGCTCGTAGTAGCCACCACGTCTCCAACAGCGCAAGCTCGTCGGCATCATCACCAACATCGCTGCATCATCATGAACCTCAACATCAATATCGGATGCTTGGGCTTGGTTTTCAGAGCCCACCGCCGCCACCGTCGCCATCACCATCACCAACCATCTGGTCGTCATGGTGGTTTAGCGGTAACTCTTGTTGCTTCTGTTTCCTGGTCTGCGCGTTTGTTGACATGGTTTCAGGTGGGTATGTAGCTTAGGTCTCGAGATTTAGGTTTCAGGCATTGGGGATATTTGGGGATGACCTACTTAGGGCTTAGGAACGAGGGTTGAGGGTTAAGAACTCGGCGCAAGGATTCGGCAACTGAGATTCAGGGCTCTAGGCGATACAATCTGTAGGAGCGTTGTGGCTAAGGTGCATAGAGTTGTTTTGTTCTGCACTGCCAACCTCAGACATAAGCCCAGAACCCCCACCTGAAAAAGTCGAAGCCCAAACCCCTGGCATCGGAAGGTGTCGTCTCGGATTTTCCTGCACTTTGCCCCCTGCCTGGCTCAGTTTACCAACGAGGCACGGCCTTGCCACTCAGTCTGAGGGTTATGGGGCTGTTGCATAGCGACAAGGGTCCTGGTCCTTGCCTTCTTCGGATTTGGCCTTCAGCTTTGAAACGAAGCATAGAGTTGCAAGAAGCCCTCAACCAGAGCAGCTCTATTGCCACAGTTCTTGAGGCTACGTGCTGTGCCTTCCTTCACTGGGAGCTCCGAAGCCCCAAAGTAGTAAGGAGGTCGCAATACATAGTTCTACTACTCGTAGCTCCTTTCCGTGTCCGTAGCACTTAAGGCCCCTGTACTACCCTACAAAAATAAACAATCACAGCAGCCTTATGAGAACCTTCAAAGATCCGGAGCCTCAGGGGCCAGGAATGCTTCAGGGCTTTGAGGTTTATGACTTAGGGTCACTAGTAAGTTTAGGGTTCCAAGCGCAAACCCCGAGCCCTAAACCCCAGGAGGCGTTCAACCCAAAGCTTTAAAAATGGCCTCGGGGCCCTGAACCCTATAGGGCCTAGGGCCCCAAAGAGTTCAGGCCCTGTCTCGCCAGGAAGACAAGAGCTTCATCTCGAACGCGCTGGAAGAGGTGATCGATGCACAAGTCTACAGGCCCCCAAAGACCTTCTACAGGGGCCCTATATAGTTAGTATAGGGGTCCCAAACGGGCTCTATCAGGGATAAAAAATGGTATGAGTCCCTTCTGGATAGGGATTCGGTGGTCTAGGTTTCTGGCATAAGGCCTGTACTGCGAAGAGCATTTCGTCAATGGGTTTGTGCACAGCACACCTTGGGATGGCTGTGGTTTGCCACCATTAGCCCTGTATGTGGTGAGATTGTGGCGGGCTTGCAAAGCTGCAACCGCGATGCTTTCCAGAGCTCGAGCCGTCAATCCGGAAGTTAGGCCCCTGTGTTGCACCTCCCCTGCTGCATCCCTCAACCCGAACCCACATTTCGATCTTCTGCACTGTAAGCACCAGGGGGTGCTGATATCCAGAGTTCCCGAGGTCCACAGAAGATGCCAAAGTTTCAAAGCATCCCCAATGCCGGGAGCCAACGCCACAAACTCGAATTTCATGGGCCGAGCATAGAGAGGGAGACAGGGAGCTGCGGGGTTAGTAGTTTGGGGTTAAGTTCGCTTCAACGACACTAGTCCGTTGTGAAAACTACAAGTACTCATTTTGCATGACGACTAACCGTGACCAACAACTTCCTCTCATTGAAATAGCCCCGAGAGCTGTCCTAGTCTGCCCTCGTAGCGGTGTAGTACCATATGGACAGCCAGCACCTCAGCCCCTGCTGACCAGAGTCAAAGCAGCGGTCCAAATCCCTAAACCCGCAACTTAACTCGTTTATGAACCCCGTAAACCTGATCAGGTCCATGATAATCAACAATAATTACACTACTGGTAGTGGCAGTCATGAACATGAAACTTGAGAAGAAGACCGTGAACCCCTGCCTTACAGGCTGCGCGCCGCAGGGGAAGTGCACCGGCTGCAGATGTTGGCGCCTGGGCTTGCATGTAGGAGGCTTGAGGATTCAGGGCTTGGGGTCTATGGCATGTAGGATTTCAGGTTCAGAGCATCAGAACTTTACAAGGGATGGTCGGAAGTTGGCTGGTCTTATGGTTTGAGGCCGCTTCGGGTCCTGGGAGTTGAAGAGTTTCGGGATTGAGAGTCAACGGGTCTTCGGTTCATTGCTCCCGAAAGCTTGCAACCCTAAGCAAACCCGACACTGAAGCGATCTCGCGCTCCAGGGGGTGAGCAGTGGGGGTGAGTGGCTGATACACCCAAAACATGTTGTTGAAGACGTGCGTGCTCATGACATCTTTTGTGGTTTGTACGTAACAAAGGCTGCAAGGCGTCAAACAGATTCTTGAGACCTGCTGTGTATTGCAAGTATAACAGGGAACCCTGAGGAGTGTTCCAAGCGTTCTATACAGAGACCTTCCAAGCTGTTCATTCCCCGCCAGTTGTGTTCACCGTCTGTCCCGTCTGAAACTTGCAGACGTCAGGTCCGTTTCCGTCCGGCGGGTTAGGGGTTTCTCAGTTTTAGAGCTAATGAAGCCGAACATGAATCAAGTATATCCGGACACTCGGGTGTCCTGCACCCTACAGGTAACCTTGTAGAGAGAACTCATCGAGTGAAGCCTGGTAGATTCTGAAGCCACAGTAGGAGGGTTTGGGCCTTAGGGCTGCTAGAAGGGTAAGTTACTGAGAAGCGGAGCCACAGGTCAGGCTTGAAGCAAGCCGCTAATCCCTGTAGACTGGGGGGATGGGGGCAGTTGGGCCGAAATCTTCTGGGTGCAGGAGTGTGTGCGGGCGCTGTTGACGCGCCGGGCGCCTGACCTGACGTTGTTCAAGAGGCGGGCAAGGGAGTTCAGGGATCAGGGTTTTGGGTTTGAGTGCTCGTGCTTTTGGGTCTAGGTTTCAGATGCCATGCTGGGCAGGGGGCAATCACAACTAGGGTGTTTTACGCAGTCTTGTGAGGTTCAATGCATGCGGGTCTTCTTATTAAAGTCCCCCAAGAAAGCATTGTGGTTCTTGTTGGAGGGCCTTGCTGGGCTTTACCAACGAGGCTAGCACCTGGCAATCATACGCTTCAACCGCGCGCGGCCAAGTCTCACAACTCCAGGTGAAGGGGTGACTAGAGGACCCTGCACAATTAGTCTATAGCAATTGGTCGACCTTCTATATAGTAGTCGTTAAATGTTCCCGTTCGTTGCAGTACATCAGTTTGTCCTTGCGGGCTTCCGCTCACGCTCCAGACCGTATGTTGCAAAGACAGTGGTTTGGCTTCATTTCATGGCAAGAAAGAACAAGCAAAGAACGAAGCGTTTTCGTGTCCTTCTCTTTCAACTCAACACAACATGAACGAACATGTGAGCGAACGAGGAGAACATGAAGCGAAACAAAGTCCACGCTGGCTTTGTGTTTCTCTTTATTTGACTATGAAGGGGGGCTTCTGGCCCAAAGATCTGGCCTGGAGATCTTCGGGAGAATCCTAAGCAGCTTGCAAGCCCGAAGCAACACGGAAGAGACAGGCTAAGTCGGACGGGCAGCTTGGCCTACATGGCCAAGGCCGCCAAGAGCGTACAATATACAGGCTCGCTGGGTGTTTAGGGTGTGGGGGTTCTGTGAGGTTTGGTTTTTGGGGTATTTACGAGTCGCCGGCTGTGATGAAAGAGCTTTTGCCTTGCAAGCCTTTACCCCAAGGGTTCAAGTACCTGCCCTACAATACTAACAACCCAAAACCCTAAATCCTAAACTAACCTGACGTTGCAGCTATCTGAATCTTAGACCCAAGTCCCTTACAAAAGCCTCAAGAGCAGAGGCCGAATCTTGAGTTCTTTTTGGAATTCTGACCCGGGCTGCCCTGTAGCTTTGCAAAACTGGGTTCCCTTGAGGGGTTCCAGAGCGAGCTAGACAGGTTCTTGTACCTGTTCTAGAACGGATTTCTAAAACTCTGCCGGTTGTTTTTGTTTCCAGGTTCTGCTACAGTTTTTGTGAAGTTGCTCTGGGTCTCGCGATATTGGGGTTCTCTGAGATTGAACGTTTCTGTGGAGATGTGTGTTCCTTCTTTGGCACAATTTTGAGGGGCTAGGTCCTGGGCCTCTATCCCTGTCCTATCTTACTTCCCTCAACGAATGCGATACACACCAAGAAGCCAATCATGGAGTGGCGCCTGCCAGCTTGACTCCATATTCACCCAGACCTCCACACATAAATACATATTATGTATATATATATATATACATGTATACACCTGAACATACATACATACATACGTACATATGTAGATATAGCGAGACAAAGGGACAGCCGCTTTTTGCTAAAAAGTCCCGATTCTCTGAACCCTATGATAGGCTGGACTCACCTGCACTACGCCACTGCACGGAGTGACCGCGATGCCGTCGCACGACTCCTTGCCATCTGCCTCCTCAGCTGCAAAAACGATACCTTCCTGAGGCTACCCATGCAAGTCACAAGCAGTCCTTGACCCCCTCCCCCATGTACCCTAAACCTCCAGCCCCGAACCCCCAGAGCAACCCTCGTAATAAGCCTTCTAGTGGCCCGAGCAATAAGACAAACGGCAACCCCAATAAAGGTTCCTGTAGTAACCCTTACTAGAAACCCATCTTGTAAATCTCGTACGTAGTAAACTTCGACCCCTCATGATAGCCCTTATGTTATTGTGATCGTTGTATTAACCCTTACAGAGGCCCGTTTTTCGGAGCTCCAATACTAATAACGACAGTAGTAATAACAAGACACTACTATATTATGCTGATGCTATTTACAAATAATGATGAAATCAATACGCCCAGGCGAAAGGGCCGACGCGCAGACAGCCCAAGCAGACATGGACCTTTTCCTCGGACCCAAGTTCCTCGCAGGGGTTTCGAGGAAGTTTTGGGGTTCAGGGTTTGGATGGGTTTGGGGGTTTTAGTGTTTATGATTTAGGGGATTAGGGTTTCCCCGGTCTGAGATTTAGGGGTTCAGGGTTTAGGGGTTTGCGGCTATTAGATGGTTTTAGGGTTTAGATGGCTTTAGGGTTTCGGCTTTAGGGTTTCGGAGCCTATATGGCTTTAGGGTTTAGGGGCTCACGGTTTAGTGGCTCAGCGGTTTAGATGGTTTTAGTGTTTACAGGTTTAGGGGTTTTGGGCCTTGGGGTTTAGATTGCTTAGGATTTTAGGGTTGATAGTTCATGGTTTTTTGGTTGCAGTTTAGATGGCTTTAGGGTTTAGATGGTTTCAGGGTTTAGAGGTTCAGGTTTCGAGGTTCAGGGTGCTTTCCCAAAGGTCTCCCAGGATTTCGAAGGGTTCTGCAACAAGGATTCTAAAAGTTCGCGGTTACCCTAAAGTAGTAAGCGCTCATATGTTAAGGCATTTGGGCGCAAGACCATGCATTGCAAAGCATTGTTGCCGTGTTGTAGGTGTAGAGTCCTCATAAATCTGAAGCCCTTGATCAAGTGGTGGGCTTTACTGGCTAGGGCCAAGTCTTGCGTGGGAAGGCGTAAACAGGCTGGGCGGGTTTCCACGCACAACAGCATTTATCATCAGAGCCAAGATTGAATAGCAAGCGCAGTTGAGAACCCCCCCCCCGTCATGGCGATCATGGCAAGCCCTGAGCCCATGAGCCCAACTCAACCTAGGGTCTATAGGGTTTAAGGTGTAATTATCAAAGTCATCGCAGAGCCCCAAGGCTGCAGCCTCTTCACATGTGGGCAGCATTTTCCTTCAACGAGGATATTGCCTCGCTGCTGCTGGGCTAAAGGGAGAGGATGAGTCTTATGGTTCGAGGTCGAGGTGCTTTGGAGCGGTATCGTTTGGGGCTTAATGTTCGTGGGTTTATGGAATGATTGCCAGGCGCTTTTCACTTTGGGTTGTAGGTGTCGTGCACGTGATGTGGTCTGGGTGCGAGAAATATCTTCTAGCTGGTGCAAGCTCAAGCTGTTAACCCGCATATCATGCTGCCAGACTACTCTCTACGCCAGAGAACCCCGACCGCAATCTGAACCCGCCTGAGCCAACAAGATGTTGAAACCATGGAAGCCTGAAGCCCCTCAAGCCGAGGAATCAACTCGTATGCATGGTAGAAGCCCACCCCGTGATCCCAGCTGACCATCCCACCCGCAGGTTGTTGCAGGCTTCGGTCATGGCCCCTCGTCTGAGCGACTCCAGGGTTCAAGGGTTCACGGCTTAGGGCTTTCTCTGGGTGTTCAGAGAGCCAAGTCCTCAGCTTGAATGCGCGAGCCTCTAGCAAATGCCGTAAAGTCCAAACTTAATCCGTGAGGGTGAGTTAGCGTGTATTCGTGACTAAAGACATGAAACCCTAAACCACCACCGTAAACCCGTCTATGGCTCGGGCATAGCTAGGGTCTCTCTGGTGATTTGTCTTATGGGGTTGCGCAGGGACTTCGAGGGTGGCCCAAAAACACATTAGGTTGCATTACAGAGGCTTATGGCTGTAAGGGTTTCGCGGACAAGGGTTTAGAGTTTGGGGGTTGGGCGTTTAGGGGATGAGGTTTAAGGGAATTCGCGGATCAGTGGACTTGGTCCGTAGGTGATCACACCCTGCCACCCAAGCCTACACACTATTGCGGGGGTTTAATCATCAAGGCTCACCTTCCGTAAAATTGAGCCTAGACCCGAAGCGTTAAACTAATCGCCTTCAAACACGCCGGTTAGAGTGTTGGGTTCAAGGACATGAAATGCTTGAACTTTCAGCCCCAAGGTATCTCGATTCTTTGGGTTTGAGCCTAAACACAGAGTGCTCTTTACGCCTGAAGCCCTAAGCGGTAAGTCCTACCACGGAAATTCTGCCGGGAGCCTGGTGAGAGAGGAGCCTGACGCCCAGATCTCATCCAGAACCTTACAACCGCTAGCGAATACCGAAGCCCTGAACGTATAATTCCTAAACAGCCCTGTAGCTAATACCCAAGCCGGTGGCTCCAGGTCGACTGTCGCGGCTCTGGGGGCCTCACCCCCCTAATGCTCAGCTGCAGGTCGGGCTTAGGGTTTAGGGTGCCCTCAACTCCAGGGCTTATCATGCGGTTTGGGAGTTCGAGGGTGTAAGTTTAGGGGCTCAGGTCAGGGTTTAGGCTGGAAAGTCTCACGAACGCCGAAGCCGAGATTCTCGGAACATGCACACAAAAGCCACAGTCCCACATTTTTGCTGTTCAGAGTTTCGGGGGGGGGGTACTGTTTAAGGTTTGGGTTTCGGGACCGGCGTACGCACCACCACCACTCCACAGTGATAGCCACGGACCCTTGCAATTCTGCAAGCTTCAAAGTCCCTGATACCCTAGCTTAGTCTGACTTGAAGTGGGTCTCCAGGCTTTGACGGCGTTGACGGCTGGGGGTTCGGTGCACAGGCCTAGTCTTGTTCAAGAACTTTCCGTGTAGGCTAATCGGGCAGAGTAAGTCCTGACAGGTTTGGCAACACCATTGCTTGCAAGACCTTGCTGGACATGCCCTTCGTCGAATGCAGCAGAAGTTAAAGTATGGCAAACACAAGGCTGGGTGAGTGTTGGAGTTCTGGTTACTGTGGGCTTGAGCTTCGGGGTTTAAGCCTGTCACATGGAACATTTCGTCCCGCCACAGCTTTGCTGAAACCTTACGCCGCCACACAATCCTGATAAGTGCCCCATGTGGAACTCTTTTTCAACCCTTAGCCGAAAGGTTAGCTGCATGCCATTTGGTGAAGGTGGCTGCGGGTGCAGAACTTACCCCGAACCCCAAAATACCCGAGACCATCCTACACCCTTACATTCCCATGGTGCCACATAAAGGCCACCGACCTCCGTATAGTCTCCCATTAAAGCCACTGGACACCCCAAAACTCAGAGCGATCTAAGGATGGCGGATGCGAACGCACAGGATCAGATGGGCTGCAGGCAGCTTGGCTCTTGGCTCTAAGGGAATCCTTTGCATCTCAAGGTCCTCCTTGGCGCTCGTAGGGCATGCCAAGCCCGAGCTTGAATACCGGCAGCATGAGACAAGCGCCTGCCGAGCCATAAGCCATTTTCCCTATGGCTTTGTAAGTGTATGGATCTTGCAGTCTTCCGCCAAATTCTGTTGTGACATCAGTCATTAGTGTCATGCAAGGCTCTGACTTGTAGGATTGGTATGTAGGGTTCTGGGAAAGCACTGTCAACTCTTGGCAAGCGTTGTAGAAGCCCGGCTCAGCATCCATGTAAAGCTCGGCCTTTTTCAGATCAGCTATGGGCTGCCATGAACTCGTTCTCCTCCTGAAATCCATCAGCCCGAAAGTCAGCCGTAGCAGAAGCCGACGCGAACTTGAGGCCTTTGGTCTTCGCTTTGGCGAACGATGCCGAAGATTTGGTCGCACCTCTCTTGGATGCCACATGGCTGCGGTCCGATGTGGTTACGGGCAGTTACAGGTGGAGTCCCGCGTTGGAATGTTGACTACGCGTTGAAAACGAGGCTGAAACTCCTGTTGGCATCGGTTGATGCTGTCTTTCCTCTCCGGCTGATAGCCGCGGAGCCGGTATCAACACTGATCATCCCTGCAATGGTTCATGACAGACCCTGCACCCTACACCCCCCTAGGCCCCAAACCATGCAGACCGTTCTGAACCCTCAATTCAAATTCCCCTAAACCCTATATAAATCCTACAGACCGTTCTAAACCCGATAACACACTCTCAACTTGAGAGCTGGCTTGAGTGCAAAGCCCCGCAGCTGACCCAGGCCGGTGCAGATCCGCGCCGGGGCTGGGCCGGGTTGCGCCGCGGTTTCATCTGTTCTCAGAGGGGTTTGGGGGTTTTGGCGTTTAGGATTTAGGGCTGATTGGAGTCTCGGGTTTAGGGGTTTCCGTTCGGGGTTTTGGGGTTTAGGGAGGTTCTCTACAGGTGCGTATTGGGCTTGGTCTTGTATAGGTTTGAGGGTTTCTGTTGGGCTTTGGCGGTGACTCCCAGTAGCCACAGTTGGACACGTTCTACCGTTACACTCCGAAAGTGAGGGTTTGAGCTAATTACCAGGCTTGAGAACTGGAGCCGGAGTTTGGGCTTAGTCTTTGCAGGGCTTGGAGTTGTGTGGCATTGGATTTACAGGGATTGCAGGAGCTTGTTCGGCTGAGGGTTCTGAGTTTAAGATTTGCGGATCTACGGGGCTGACAACCCGACACTTCCGGAACCCGGCGAGTCTCAAAAATACATTGTATTTGGGGTTTCGGCAGGGGGTTCCGATGGTCGGTTCAACAAACCAGACTCCCGCACCTACACCTGAAAACAGGATCCATGTCTTCGAAGCATGTGGCAGAAGCTCGCCACGTTTAGGAAAACCCGCTCGGATCCGTAATCCAATCGTTTGGCTAAGGATCGCTGCTATCACCAACCAGGATGGTTTGGAGGTTGTGATAAATCCGGAAAGACATGAATCCCCGAAACCGAAGCCCTCAAGCCCCGAATCCTAGATGCTCAGCCGTTGTAGACCCGCTGGTAAACACCTGAAAAATTCCAGATACTCGTAAGACCAAGGAGTCCGCTTCACTTCCTGGCCCTGACAAGCTCTGCCACCTAGCTTGACCGCTTGATTCAGGCAGGGGTAGGGCTTGAAGGCTCCAGTATCGCACATTCATTGTCGCGGAGATTCAGACAACAGACACCTCAGTAAGCAGCGCAAAAAGGGGTGCCCCTCATTTTCGGAATTCACACAGGACAAGTGCACTTACACATATTATATATAGTATCCTACCAACATATGTACATACATATATACACATACACATATATATTTTTCTGCATTACCGTGCTGTTAGACGAGTGCGCAGCTTAATTAGGGCTTGCAGGAACGGCGTTTTCTGTTCTGGGCTGAGGAGGGTACTCACCCAAAGCACACGCACCTTCTTCCTTAATTTCCGTCGCGACGTGGCCTGGAACCATTACACCCGAACAACAACACCAAGACCTTCAAGCCGATTACCGTAGTATTCCTTAGGGCTCCGTCTTCAATGCGATAATATGTCGCAAAGCCCCAGTCCATTTATTCAGCCCCCTCTATGAAACTTTTACAGAGATGCTTGAAAAGGAAGCCCCTTCAAGGCAGCCTTTGTAGAAGCCCGATTCTAAGTAGTAAAGCCCCACTACTATGCTCCGAGCTCAGAGGAGGGCCTGGACATCAACATGCCCTGCCGACTGGAGCGCTTCTCTCTCACCGGAGCGTTGGCGGCTTTGCCAGAGTTTTAATGCCTTGCGGTGGTTGGTGGCGTTGGGGGGGAGGGGGGGGGGGGGCGGGGAGAGAGAGCGTACAGAGTGTACGAGAGTTGTGGATGATCGTGCGGTGGGTTTGTGAGCGTTCAGGATTAATGGGAGTTTATGGTTTGGGCCGAGTTTGGGGTTTACGATTTGGGGTCATGGGTTCATTTGTCTTGGGTCGTTGCCTTGAGTTGGGTGAGGGCTTGTCTGGCTTTGGCTCCGTGATGATCACTAAGATCCCGTAACAATCTCACCCCGTAGCCCGCTTACACGAAATCAGAATTTTTCAGTTGCTACTGGTTGGTTAGTTATTTTGTTTGTTTGTTGTTTCGTTGTGCCGGTGCTGGTGAGCTGTGAGTTTGCTTGAATATGTGCCTATGTACCTTCATGTGGAAGTTCATACATACAAACAGGTAGGCAGATGGGCAGATAGATAGATGCATATAGATAGACAGATAGATGCCTGTACAAAGACAACTGGTTCCAAGGCCCTCAGAAAGCAAGAAACCCCGAACCCTAAAGCCATAAACTCTAAAACCCGAATCCCCGAAGAGCCGTCAGGTGTTTGTGATTGTTGTTGTTATTGTTGTAGTCGTGAGCCGCGGGTTGTGGGTTGCGGGTTGCTGGTTGCTGAGTGCTGGTCGCTGTTGCTGCTGCTGCTGCTGCTGCTGTTGCTGCTGCCGTTGCTACGATCTTGTCATGATTATCATTAACATTGCTATTACTACTAGTCTTAATCTTGTTGTTCTCCTTTTATTGCCACTACTAGTATGTATCAGAACAGTTTTGCCTTTTCATGTTTATTATTGTCAGTATTGTTGGTATTATTAGCATTCTTCTTACTTCAGAACATGATGGTAATTCTGAAGCTTATTCTTATCTTCATTTCTGAATATTGCTACTTTTAGAGCCTTCAGGTCGCTTTCGGGATGGTGACCAACAGGTCGCTGCGCCAGCTCTTTTCTTTGGTGGAGCCTCGCCGGGCATACCGCGTCGTGTCGGGTTTAGGACTTTAGGGTGTGGGGTTTAGGGCATAGGGGCCTTAGCAAGTGGAACAGGGCTCCTTTGAGGGTTCTAGAAGAGATTTGAGGTTTGGGGGTGGGAGGTCGGGTTTCTTCGCTGTAAACTTTAGGCGATAAGCCTCTTGGGCCGTTAGGTTTCGGGTGTTTAGGAATTCCAGGGATTCAGGGCCTTAGCTTGGGGCTGTGAGTTGAGGTTTAGGCCTCAGCTTCAGACCCAAAGCCCTACTGTACAAAGCCCCACCCACTAGTGATATAACCTGGAACCTTAAACTCGAAACCCCAAGCCCTGAAAAAACCCTAGCTCAAGGCTCGGGGGCAGAAGCCGTGCAACGACCGAACATAGACCCGGTGCGTGTTTCCGAAGATCCCCTTCGGAAAGATGTCGGAGTTTGTCCCTCGATTCCTTGGAGTTGGTTAACCCCTTAGTGCGGAAGTGATGCTTTTGCCCCGAATTTTCTGGTAGTTGATGAAAAGCTCACTCTCAAGTAGCACAACAACCCTAGAGCCTGGAACGACCAAACAGCCCAAAAAATCCTAAACCCCGAGCTCCGAACGTAAAGCTTGGAAAATCTAATGTATACAATGTATACTTAGATGATACTCTACTATATTCTGTTAGATTATAACTATATTGTATAAATTATATATGATATTATCTTATCCTGCCTGAGCTGGAAAGGATGGCAGCACGCCCATCCTCGCTGCAGCTGCCGTGGGCAACGCGAAGGCCAGAGTAGGGTGCCTTGTTCTGGGGGGTCCTTCATCTAAACCCTATTAAAACCGAAACCCTAAAACCTAAACCCTGGTAGGGACCCACCTCTTTAGGATTCCGGGTGTCGTAATAGCAGGCAAAATACGACTCTACGATACTAATTGTGTCATAAGTATAACAAACTGTTCAGGCCCCAAGTTCACACCCTAAGACTGAAAAGTCCCTTCTACCAGCAGCCTTAGACTCTAAACCCTGTTGCCCGGGAACTGAAGAATTCGTCAGTCTACAGTCTACATGGTCTCCTCCTAAACTGCCCCTAGACCCTGAACCCTAAATCCAAGATACAGGTGGTACAGAATTTGATGTGCGCGGGCGCGGTCACTACGGCTCGCAATGCACGGGGCCACTGGGATGGCACTCAGGGGCGTACATTTAGTGCTTTCTTTTTACGCAGAGGTTCCCCAACATAAGGGCATGAGGGGCTGTGGAGTATGTCGTTGGGTAGACGGCTGGATGATTTCATGAATGGCCTGGTGGATGGCGGATGGCGAGACTCTAGGGTTGTTAGAGGTTCAGGGTGAGTTCTGGTGATAGATATGTAGACATGAAAGGAGAAAGTTGTGGCCTTACTCTGTTCGAGGAGGGTCTTCCCCATACTTGAGGCTCCTGTAAAAGTTGCGATTCGATTTTCAAAAACGACTGCATGTGGTTTTCGCGATTATGGTGGACTTGAGAGTATCGGGGTTCAGAGGTTCAGGGCGGTGGAGGAGTTGGAATCAGAGTCGAGGTTCGGATTGCGTTTGAGATGGTTACACAGTTCTGGGGATCGTGGTATGCTACTGTTCTTGGATTTCGCCTCCTCCACACGAGGGAATGAACCCTATACTGTAACTACGAATTTTACGAGTGATTTAAGAACACAACGTCTGCCCCCAAAAGCCCCGCCGGCCGTGTCAGACCCAAGCCATTAGCCAAATCATGCTTTGTCGTTTGTCCTTGGGCTGAAAGCCCATCACCCTTTTGCCCTTGACGCAAGAAACCCGCTGCTCTGATTTCGATCTATGGTTTAAGCCACTTAGGGAGACAGGGTGCTGACGCTAAATCTTAACCCCCATGAAATAGAACCCCGCCGCCATGCCGCCACCAGCAAAGTCTCTCCCAACCGCCTTTCGATGCAAAGCATTGGAGGTTCGAAACTTAGCGGTGTAGCACTCAGAGTTTAGGATTTCGAATTTCGGGTTTGCAGTTCAGGGCAGTCAGGGTTTGACAGCTTGCTGAGGGATGGACATCCACCAGATTTGCAAACTGAGCTGCCTACCCGAGTCCGTTTTCACTGCCTACGGTGCACCACTCCTGGAGTAGGCGCCAGGATTCCGACCTGGGTCGTCCTAACCTGAAATCCCAAAGTTGGGCGTCCTTTAGGTGCGGAGGGGGGGGCGGGGTGGGTTCTTATAGTAGGGATCCTGCCATTCAAAGGTTATCCGGTTATCCCATACTTCCCCCTTCTGAGCCTCTTAGTTGAATTGAAGTTTTCGCCACCAGTGGTCCGAAGCATCCCCGAAGGGGATGCTCCAGACTTTCCCTGCCAGCTGCTGGGTTCCAAAGCCGCGATCTACCTTGGTACCTCAGGCTTTGTTGCCGGGCTTTATAACGAATTTCTCACTGGGGCTTAGGTCACGGATTCTGTGCTTTCAGGGTTAGGGCTTAGGGTTAGCGGATACGACGGAGGCTTAGGATGTAAGGCTCAGGATGTATATAATTTTGGCTCGCGCCTGATATTGTCTGAAGGGCTCCGAGTCTTGGAGTTCAGGACAGAACAAGGGGTATCTTCATTTCTCGCATCTGGCGTTCGGTGCCTTGGAGCGCCTGCAATGGGGTTTTGGACCTCGGAGGGCTGATCTATGCAGTGAACGTATATCGGTGGCTAAGAGCTTTGAAGCAGGATGCTAATGGGCTCCTACTACTCTGTGGATGCGGCTGTTCATCGAATCAGGACGCTCTTCTTGGGTTTGGAGCTCATCCCAGTTAGGCACTTCACTGTTCTGCCAAGGAGCAGCCGGATCATGGCCTCTTTCCAGGCCCAAGCGAGCAAGGTTTCCATGCATGACAGAAACCAAGTCACTAGGTCAGAGGACATGAGATCGAAGCCATGAATGCCGAAGACAAGCCACTGTGACGTCTTGAGGTCGTCGAGTGACTATGTAGCAGCAGCATGAAGCGGCCGACCCGGCAGCGAAACACAGGAAGCACACTTAGTGCAAGGTTGGGGAAGTGGAGTGTTTAGTTTTCATACTCTGGCATCAGTGTTAAGTTATGATGTTGTGGTGTACCGAAATTGGCGAATCTTCAGACAGAAGCTCTTAAGGTACTTGCGGCAGAAACAGGAACTCTGCAGCCGACAGCAGCAGCAACAACAACAACAGCAGCCACAGCACCGCATGCCACCAGCCAGCTGTGCCTTTAAAAGTTTTTATGGCGTCCGCCCCCTAGTTTCAATTTTCCGGCCATGCACCGTGCCAGACATGCAGCGTCCTGCCCTGAGTCCTCTGTGGAGGAGGTTATGAAGTTGTGGGACTTAGCCTGTGGCTGGGCGCCATATCCTCCACGGTGCCGTATAGCGGGTGATAGTGGTCTGGAGCTATGGAAGTGACTTCGACACAAGACTACTATGCATCATTATCCGCTTGTACTGTGACAGTAAGAACTGAAGAGGTCATACCCTCAACAGGGTCCCCTGGGTCCATGGAGGGCTGGGTCCATGGTTGCCATTGTCGCCGGCAGCGTCTGAGACTTGTTTTGTCAAGGACTGGGGCGTCACAGGGTTTGGTTTAAGTTTTTGCTCTTCAGGGTTTGAGTGCATCAGGTTCGCTGTCCGCGCCGTTGCGAGGCATTGCCAAGGACCCTGGGCGCTTCAAGGTTTCAACGGTTTCGCTTGTCGTCTTCTAAGATGCAGATGCTGGTGCGTACTGTCTGATTTCGGGGCGCAGCAGGGTTCAGGGAAGCTGAGCGCCATTTCAGGAAATAGGTCAATATAGCATAATCTAGCTAGGGTCTGGGGGCTCCCTGTTAGAGCAGGCGTAAGACATGAAAATTGGACTTCTACAGTAGCCCGGGGGCGATGGTAGCAAAGGGGACTGTACAGGGGGCGATTTGTGCATTTCTATCCCTGTTTCCACCACACGGGTTCGGCATTCGGTTTTGGGCTCTGGCTAGGTTCAAAATGCATGCGTTCAAACGAAGTTGTTCAGCTTTGTTTGTTTTGCTTACGGTGCAAGGTCACTTACAGCAGACACGGACTTCTATATTGACTGAAGTGAAGATGGTGCTTAAGGGCGAAGACGAGTAACCCTGCGGGTTGCCAGCGCTGGTATCTAAACAGCTTCTGCTTTCACCCCACCAAGCTTCTGTCGTCCGCATGCAGAACACAGTGAAAGATGGCAGTGGCTATGCAGAGCGGGTATTTGCAGTCAGCTTGTTTCATTTACAACCCTGAATCACTCTAAAGAGTCCAGAAACTCGCGAAGATGGCAAGGAGTGCACCGAGGAGCCACGGTAACCGCTGTCAGCCCGGCTCTGCCTTGAACGAGCTTTTTTAGAGCCCTGGGGAAGGAGGGCTGTCGCCACAGGGTCTCGTCAAGGGGACACGGTTTTCCCGCAATCCTTTCTTTCAACGTATGCAGCTTTGTGTGCATCCCCCGGCAACCTGTTGTGGCTTCCCTGAAGAAGCCTGCATGAAGATGGAGTGCTTCAAACCACTCGTAGTGGTTCCTCGTGCATCTCGTCAGGTATTTCGGTCTAAGTTGGATTGTCAGAGGCCTACTAACAAGGCATCCCCAAGTTTGAAGGGCTTCCGATGTCGTCAGATCCTTTGTTTTCAGTCCAAGAACCTCGGAACATCGTGGGGGGAGTGTCGGCGAGGCAAACAAGCTCCACTGCGACCACCAGCAGAAGACCAGCAAGAGACCACCAACCAGGCAACCACGAGATCTCCAGGACCCCCGCAGACCACCCAGAGACCACAAGGAAACCCCAGAACACCGTGGCCAAACTGATACTGTCGGGATTCAGGAGCACGGCCAAAATGGCTTCCTTCAGGTGCTGGCGGGAATTCAGGAGCACGGCTATCAGGACACCCGACATGCTTCCCCAGTAGATTTCAATGCCTGAAAGACGGGGGCGAGAACACCATGGTGTGTACCGCACGATTACGCGCTTGCAAAAAATCCAAAATCAAACCCGAAACCAGAAGACGCACCGACAAAACCTGCAAAACGTTTAACCAAAAAGATCTCTAAACCTTAAACCACAAAGATCCCTGAACCTTAAACCAAAAAGATCCCTAACAAAGCGACGGCCAGGCGCCCCTCATAAGCCGTGGTAACCCTTGGCCGCGCGCGAGCCGGGCTTGGAGCAGCCCGGAAGCCCTGTTTCTTTACGGCTTCCCTGTTCCCTTCCGGGTTTAGGACCTTAGGATTCAGGGCTCCCTCAGAAGGGCTTCTAGAGGGTCTGAGGGGGTTGTCTAACAGGGACTTACAGCGGTGTTACATTGCGCTTTGAGGGTTTAGGGCTTCGGGCTTAGAGCTTTGGACTTGAGTTTCGGGCTTCAGGACTTTGGGCTTAGGGATGTGGACGAGGCTCTCCTAACAGGCATACAAGCCCTGTAGAATTACCATTCTTGTTCCCTAAGCTTCTTGATTTATGATTATACTGAAATATTCCAAAACCCTGTTCCAAGTGGTAATGCGCCTATGGCATATACAATTTAGGTGTCCAGAGCCTTAGAGACTATAGAATCTTGGAACTCGATTACCAGGTTTCTTTAGTTCTGGTTGTGGCAGGGCCTCGGAGAGTTAGATTTTCCTTCTTTCCTTAGGGGTTGTAGAATTGTAGATGGCTTAAGCGAGGTCACGAGAGTTCGGCTGCGACTTGTTTGTGGGTTTTACTTTGTGGCTTGTGACGTCGTTTGTGTGGGTTTAACATCTAAGGTCTTTGTTATAGATTCTGGTGGGGAGGGATCGGCATGTTGTTCATTGGCCTTGATCGGATTTGTTGAGTCCTACCGTCATGATGCAATCTACTACCTATTGAAGCTCATACTGTGGCCGAGCCTTGTTTCAAAGATGAATATCAAAGCCCAGACAGTTTGCGGAGGTTGAACTTCAGAGGGTGGGCTTTGGTAGAAGTGTGGATGCTTTGTAGTGCAGCCTCCGTGGCTTTGCACTGCGCCGTAGTTTGGTATGCTGGTTGACAACTCTCCGGAGGGCCTGGTGAACAACAGATAACTTGGTCCAGCAGAGTATAGTATAATTTAACCTTCAGACCAGGACAACTAGGAATGTAGTCAAAGTCCTACGAAATGTTCACAACTGCTCTTAGCAGGTACCTCCTTTAGCATACCTTGCTTGCCAGCTCAGTGGTATTTATACGAAGCTATATGATCCAGCTAAGCACCCTGCTCAGAGCGAAAAACCCCTGAATCCCAAAGCGAAAAGCCCGAGACCTTCAACCCCAAAGCAAGCCTTAAACCCCAAAAACTCTAAACCCTAAACGTAGGCCCTAATGGATGTTTCTGGGTTCGCCCATGTCTTGCTCAGGCCACGTCTCCTCCAGCCAATGTGAACCTGCGCAGTCCGAGAAAGGCGCTTAGGGTTTGGGGTGTAAAATATGTAAGCCTAAATTCCCTGGCGTTCCTTATTGTCTTTGTAGTATACCGCAAAACCCCACATAGTTAGCAGAGAGCCTCGTCTTCGGGTTTGGGATCTAGGGCTGTGGAGCGTCTTTGGTGTTTGCTGTTAGCCGTGACCTTGTAAACCCAAAAATTGAAGCGGCTTTGCCACGATCGCAATAGCACTAGCCTCAAAAGCTGAGCAGCTGCCACCGCAGTGGGCCCACAATGATTTTCTTAATCCAAAAGCTGGACGGGATGTTGGCCGTCTTGAACTGTCTCCGCATTCGAAACTCCTTGCGTCTGCTTCAGATCGTAGGTGTAGGGATTAGGGTTGGCAAGTTATAGCCGTTGACGAAAGCACGTCAAAGGCATGGGTCGGTTTCGAAACCATAACCACTCTCCTATAGTTTAAAGATGGGCTTCCACGGTCTGGGATGAAGAGCACCATCTCGAGCCCTATACTCGAGTTCCAACTCCAACACCTCAGCCCACCGACCTAAACCCGAAATCTCCAAACCAGTAATCAGTGAACCCTTAGCCCCTTGACCCTTCGACCTCGAAGCTTACCTTAGGCTGTGCCCAACAGCACACAATCCAGGCGTGTCTCAAGGCATGCCTGTCTCCCTGCAGCGTGTGACGAACAAGGCATGTGTGGGCAAGACTGTACATGCAAGGGGCCTTACTTTGGGGCCTGATCAGCGAGAGCAGTGTTTGGTGGATATTACCGTATGATTCTATAGGGACTTGAGGGATACCATTACCGAGATTTCTTTTTCGGAAAAGGGCTCCTTTTAGGGTTTAGGGTACTGCTCGTGACGCTCCTAACACCCACGCAGTCTCGGATAAGCGTCTCCGGGTGGTTCTACGGCTGTTTGGGAATCCTCACGAAGGCTCGGAGTCTGCCTGCAAAACCCTCGTACTTAGACCCAAACCCTGCAATCCATTCCCCCCGTCCCTCCTAAGAACCAGGGAGATCATCAGTTAGGGTCCTTGGCATTCACAAGGAAGAGCAGTGCTAGGCTGTAGCCAGCCTGCAGCAGGTGGATACAGATAGTTTAAGCCTGCAGGGGTCATATCGACTCTCATTCATCTGCCCTAATAATGGTTTAGCAGTTCGGGTTGAAGCCTAAATCTTAGGCTTCTCAGGACCGTGTAAGCCGGAAGCCGCAGAATGCAAAAACTTTTAAACTGCCTTAACTGTACCCATAGGCCCCAAAGTAGTTCCTTTCTGTGGTTCATATATAGAGTTCTATAAGGTAATCCTAAAAAGGAACTACTGGAGTCCCCTGAATCACGCAAGCCCTGAACCTAAAAGCCGGGCGCGCCCTATTTTCTCACTATGCCGTGTAGTTTCGAGACCCTCAACCCTAATCCGTTAGCCACAATCGCCTACCCAAAAGCCCAAAACCGACCTGAACCGTGTCAGCCGAAGAAACCCCGATGCTTCCGCAAAAACTGCAAGCCACAACAGGCTAAACCGCCCCGATCTGTGTAATTCCGAAATACCAACGACTGTTCAACACACAGTGCAGGACAAGCCGTTTTGCAAATCGGAGTCAGAGAGCAATCTTCCATCTTTCCCTGCGAGGTGTGCCAGGCCATGGACCGTAAATGGGGGAGCCTCGTAGGCTTCCCTGGAAGCACCTTAGAAGGACCTAAGAACCCTTTTTGGCGACCCCCCAAAGAGGGAACCCCTCTCATAGAACCCATGTTAATTCCAACCCAGAAGCCGGAACCCGTGTTTGGCTCTCCCCGGCGGAAGGATCTCGAAGCCTGGGCCAATGGCTCGGCCGTCCGAGGTCACGTTTTCACCAGGCAGTGACGGAGGGCTTTCGGGGGGACTTTAGGAGTTTAGGGGGGTGTAAGCTCTTTAGGGCTTAGAGTAGTGGTGCAAGGTTTAGGAGTTGAGGCAGCTCAGGGTCAGTGAAGTTTATAGGGCTTAGGCAGTTTAGGATTTAGTAGGGGTTTAGGGCTTCGGGCTTCGCTTAGGGTTGGTGTTTTTGGGTTCAGAGGCTGTTTTTTAGGGCTTTGTATGGCTCTGAAGGGTTTCCTGATGCGTGGGTTTCTGAGTCTTGTGTCTTTTTGAAGTATATAATACTAGTAGAATATACCAACCGGCGTCTTGAACTCTAAACCGTAAGCCCTGAAACTATGTCCTCCTTGGAGCTCAGAGTGCAGAGGGCTTTTCGCTGCGAGGTGAACACCGGAGCCTCAAATGCTGGATCTTGCAATGCCCAAACCCTAGTATAGAAGCCTGGGGAACTACTATTGTGAGGGTTAGACTTCTAGTCTACTAAACGCCAGAACCCTATTATTGTGAAGGCCCTATAGAACACAAGCCCTTTGCAGCAGGTTCCCTGTAGCCCCAATGCTTAGTATCCTGAGGGAAAAACCCTCCAGCCAAACTATCTCGTAGGGCGGGTAAGAGTTAAATGCTCTAACTGAGAGGCCACATCCGACTCTGTTGGAGGGCTTGGGACTGCGAGGCCGAGAAATCTGTCCGAACCTTGAACCTTTTCGGATGTGAAGGCTCACGATTGAGTACAACGACTCCCAAATTAAGACCCAAGGGCCCCTAGGCTCTGACCAGACCTCCTAAACCCTAAGACCGATGCAGGGCTGCAGCAGAGCCCTACACGGTGTCTCCAACGAGGCATTTTGGCGGGGATCCCCGGACCTCCGCCGAGCTGGGACTTGTTTTCATGATGCATCGCCTAACTCATGGCCTTAGGATGTGTTGTAGCCTAACCACATTGGGACTCTAGGCGATGATTACCGGCTCTACACCCAACCCTAGCCCCATTTTTTCCGCGAGTTATTGCCTGAGGGATTTGCAAACAGAGTTGGATGAATGCGGTAAGCTCAAAAGCCCGTTTAGGGTTTCGGGTTTTGTGGTTCGGGGCTTAGGGTGGCAATTCATCCGCACCACTTTGAACTCCGAGCTCCACACCCTAGGCCGAATTCTGAACTGCACTATAGAAATCAGAAGAATGGCGCCGATTGTTCTCAAAGGTCCTGTTCCGACAATTCAGGCCCATGTTTGACACTTTACACAATACTCGAAACTTAGGTTTTAGGGCTTAGGTGTTCAGGGCTACAAGGGGTTTAGGGTTCAGGGGGTCTGGGGGTTTATGGTTCTCCTAGTATTCAGGCCTTTCAATGAAAAGCTACACCGGGGGAGTTCTAAAACCGAACCCTAAACGCTAAACTATAACCCCTACACCGCAGCCTTAAATCCGATAACCCACAACCCCAAAAAGTGAAATCTTGTGCATTCTTTAAGCTGGAACGCCCCCATGACATCCTAGGCAACTTTTCAACTTTAATCCCTCATATCACCCCATATACCCCCAAACCGTCATAACACCCCCTAGAGATGCTAAGCCTTCATAGCACCTTTCATAAACCCTAAACCCTTATAGCACCTTATACAACCCTCAACCCTACAACCCTCGTAACAACCCTAAACCCGAAACCCTCATAGCACCCACATAACCCTGAACCTGCATAGCAAGCCAAATAACCCTGTTCAAACACGCGTGACCCTCATAATGCCCGATCGAACCCCCCAAATCACTACAACCCTCAAGCCCTAAAGGGCCCTAAAGCCTTACGAGAGCCCTCAGGCCCTAACCCCAAACCCGCCAGTCCTGGCTTTGCTGAGGCACTGGCGCAGAGGCACCGGACGGTTGGAGCGCGCCCGCCTCGGTACTTTCGGGGTCTCTGCAGATGAGGGATGAGGGTTGTTATAAGGATTCTAAGAAGTTGCATAATCGTTGTGTATTTTATGAGGGTGTATATGGTCGGAGGTTTATAAGATGCATCGGGGTTCGATAAGGGTTTTGCACCGTGTTTCTGTCAATCAGGGATAACGGTGTTACAAGTGCTGTCTTAGGGTCTCTTAGAATAGTGATGTGGGTTTTCCAAGGGTTTATTGATGTTTCTACACAAAGGGATAAAGTTTCTGTTTTAAAATACAGGTTTTATACGGGCTGTATTGGGTCTCTTAAAGATTTGGGGTCAGGATTTCCATAATGAGTTTATTGAGGTTTAACAAGATTCCAGAACTCTCTTGGGGTCCTTTACAAATTCGGATATATAAGGGTTGTATTCGGGTTTCTGAAGATGGGAGAAGGGTCTTTTGGCGGCACTTGAGCAAGTTTCTTTCGCCCGGCGTCGTGGATCGGAGATTGAAACACGAGTATAGAAGTTCAGGCAGCTGTTGGAGGCTTCATTCCTCTGCAAACTGTGGTGAATTACTGTTTCTGCTCTCGCATGATTCGAGTGCCCTGAACATGCAACATTTGATCTGGGTTCTGCAAAGTTCTACGATGAACCTGTATTTCACGAGCCTCTGGTCTAAGTTGTCCGGTCCATCTCCAGCCACCAGGTCCCGGAAGAAAGCCATGCTAGAAATCACTTAAGCTTAAGTTCCCCTGATGTGCAGCCTATCAAATTATTGTACAGGCCTGAAACCTTCGGCTTTCCTAAGTATAGAGGCCGCACAGCCCGTCTACTAATGCTTGTAAGTGAATGTAGCCTTCAAGGCCCCTCTCGCACAACCTTTTGGAGCCTTTCAAGGTACAGAGCCCTTCATTTAACATGTTGAGTTACCCTCACCTAGTAGTAGAGTAGGTAACATTCCACCTTTTTCGGGTAGTATAGTCCCTCGAAAATCCCTATATAACCAAAAAGGTTAACCTCTGGTTCCCCATGATACCCGACGAGTAGGCTTGAACAACTCTTGAAAGAACCCTTGACAAGAATCCTGATCGCCACATAAAGCCACGCTCACCTCCTGTGAGGCTCACTTTATCTCGACGAGCGGCCACTCACTCAGGGAGGATCCCCAAATCCCTGGACAACCCGGGGCCGTAATAATCAGAGTAGAGTAGGGAACTCCAATAGGATTATTTGGTCTTTTATATTCTTCCTTAGACGGGGAGGGTTGCGTGAGGATTTCTTGTAGAGGCCTTGCAAGGGTTTGATAGGATTCATAACGGTGCTATAGAGCTGTACAAGGTCCGAATATCTCGACGAGGTATAGGTTCTGTACAGGTTTTGCAGGGTCATGTAGGGTCCTGAACAAGTAGACCAGGCTTCAGAAGGCAGTCAAGCCATGTACTAAACTACAATACCTATGCCTGCACCTTAACACCGGCAAGCCAAAAGTAGCCATGAATCCCAGCTGGAATTGCACATGGTCTGCTCCCACTTGAAGGCACTTTGTTGTGCAATGGTGGAGAATCTGGCACAGTCAAGACCCTAGGCGGACTATCTTTGGGAGCACCTCGACCAGGCAACAGTTAGGGTTTTGAGCCGCGGAACGAATTTCGATCGAAGACCCCTACGGTCTCGCTGCTAGGGGACGTTTGCGCTTCGAGACTCCTAAAATCGCCCGAAACCCTACAGACCTCAACGCACCCGGCAATCTCCCAAAAGCCGAAGCACACCGAGGTATGAAGTCGGGTGGGTCTCCGAACCAGGACGGGTTCCGTGAGGGTTTCAGGTTGATGGGCAGAGTACGTCGAGTACGTCGTTGAGTTTTGATAAACCACTGCAAGTTTTCAGTAGTATTTGTGAGGTTCACGCAGCGGTTTCTGTCCTGATGGCTGTGGCTGCAGAATAATATGGGATCCAGGGCTGCGGCTTTGGGAAATCTTCGACGAGTTGAGATCGAACTTACGAAGCTGTGGGACCCCTCTATGTCTTTATCGGAGGGGGGGCGGGGAGACCTTCCGAGGGTAGGGCCTTCCAAAAGCTCCTTATTTCAGACTCCCTGAGAGAGTACAGTATGGGCAGAGTGAAAGGCCGGGCAGCTGCGGTGGCTACAGGTTAAGGGTATTCACCTACAATACAACCCAACTAACTTTGCGCATGTGAGTCCCTCACTGTATAACCCCGAACCATGAAACACTAAACCCACTTAAGGGCATGTTGGTATTTGGAGAGATCGCTGGGCCTGCCAGCCACACCCGTCTAAAACTGTTTAGAAGCCCAGGTGAGTTCTTAACGGCGAGCTGCCCCCGAGGGTTAGGCAGTCTCGGTCCTTCGTGATGTAGTAGCAATTAGCAACCCAATCCGATGAGCCTGCAGTAGCTGCGTGAACTTAAGCCCATAACCGCCCCAAACCGAAAGTCCTGAACCAGAAAACCGAAACACTAAAGACTCTAAGACTCTTACTACAGAGCCCAAACCCTGAGCAACAGGACGCCTACTCCTTCACCTTTCTGGATCATGGTTGGATCTTGAGCCGTCGCCCCAGCCACAACAGGGCCCCAAAATGGGGCATTTGAGCCCCGGGTTTAGGGTTCAGGGCTTTGTGGTTGTTGGGTTTGTCCGTGAGACCTTTGGTCGAAAGACGGCACGCCCTACGCACGACCTAGAGACCCAGCGCCCTTTGATTGAAACTGCTAGTTCGGCTTACCAAAGCCTAAGCTCTAAACCCTCCTCCCGAAACCGTAGCACGGATCTTGGGATGCCAGCTTTCGGGCACCAACGTGCAGGACCTGGCATGAACTCAAAAATGCCAACGTCGCAACAGTACCGTTGCCAACCAAGAGGTTCCAAATTTGGTTTGTCTGAATGTAGGCCGTAGACCCTGATTTCTAACCAACAGAGAATCCTCAGATGGAGGCCTAGGGCCTCGGCAAGAAGGGGCTGTTTATAACAAGGGCTAAGAAACCCGGAGCTCCAGGCCAAGACCCCAACCCCAACCGCTATCCTTTCAGCCCAGCCTCGGCTTACGTAATCAGGTCAGTCTGTAGTGCCCTTTTTTTAGATCTCCCATGTAAAGGTAAAAGATATACCGCAGTACACCTCACGAAATTGAGTAAGGCCACCCCATGGTATGGAACTCTAAAAGGAATCCCATGCCTAGAAAGCCCTCAGGGAAGTGTTCTTGTGAACCCTTTCCCCCCCACACGAAACTTGAAGAGAGACTTTATAGAACCCCATCTTGATTATCCCAATAGTTGTCTCAATTTTGAAGGTCCATTTCTGGTGAGCACATATGCGAGGCCCTTACCAGCCCTTTTGGAACCACTACTGGAACATTCAAAGAAGCCCAATCGAATTTTAAAGGCCTCTAAAACCGACGCGCGTCATCCCAAAAAACCCTGATCCACAAACCTTAGACCCCTGACCCCCCAAACCCCTTAACACCCTAAGCCTTTAAACTAAAACTCCCCCAAGCACTTCATCGAACCCCCCCAAGCCCCATTATTAGGGTCAACGTTGTTGGAGGCATTGCTTGTGATGGACACGGAGAGCACGGCGAGGCTGAGGGGTCTTAGGGGCTTAGGGGAGTTGGGGTTTACGGGGGTTAGGCTTTTTGGGGTTCTTCAGGGGAGTTAGAGGTTTAGAGGACGAGGGGTTGACGGGTTGTAATCGGCTGGGTTTGATGGGTATTTATTTTGGATTGATAAACGGACTAACATTCCCTGAACCCTAAAGGCCTTAACTTGTACACACCCTGAACGCATACACCAATGTCCGGAACCATGAAATCCCCACACACACTATTCCCAATGCTCGGCAAAAGGAGAAGTGAAAGGTGACCTGGCAACCTGGCCTAAAACACTCAACCCACAACCTGGGGTTCACTGGGGAATGGCTATCGCGGGTTGTAGCTTTGGGGTCTTGGGTTGCCCTAACTCTCAAGGCCTTGGCTTCTAAACTCATCCTGCCTCTCTGGGGCATTCTTAGTTCACCCTAAGGGACTTAGAACCCCCTCAGTTTGGGATTCAGAATCCCTGAAGCGTGGGATTTGGTATCCCACAAGATGGTAGTTTGGGATCCCTCACTTGCATTTCGGATGTAGGGTCTGTAAGGTTTAGTGGGATCCGCAACAGTTGCAGTAACATCGCAGGACAGAGCAGGTGACGGATGGGCCCTGCCTGGCTACACAGCAGACATCACAGGAGCCAGCAGCGGTATCACTGCATTGTGCTATTCATAAGATTGAAGACCAGCAAGAAGACCATCCTGAAGCGAACCTGGCCTGGTTCAGACTGACAATAACCCAAAGCTCTTAACGAGGGATCAGGCTTTCCAAGGTAGTATGATCCTTCTGGAGACCCGCTCTAATCCCTATTCTATGATTCAGTATTTTGTGTTCTTTGCCAGGTTATTGCCGAGCGTGTGTCGCGAGTTCTGCCGCTTTTCTTCTCCGCGAACATGGCGGAGAGCTTGGACCCGGAAGAGGCTTCACAGTTTATGGTTTGGATTTTAGCTTGCTTTCGTTTACAGTGTTCTTCTAAAGTGGGGTGTGGGGGGTCCTCAGTATCCTTTGGGGCCGACCGTGGAAGCCTGGGCGGTTGGGGGCTCTAGCGGCACCCTACCAGTAGGCCCCTAAACCTTGAAGTGTTAGAGTATCTTGTGTTTGCTACGGAGCATTGACTCCGTGCTAGGATTTATGCCGCAAGCTATACGACCGAGTCTCTCTCGATTCCCGAGGGCCACGGCAAGACCCAGTTGGGCTTCTGGGAAGGGCAACTTGAATTTCGAAGCAAGTAGACGCGGAGGGTCTGAACCCTACACTCCAAAGCCCTATAAATCCCAAACACCTACAAACCGTAAACCTTTGAGAGATTTGTCGGGATCGGTTTGTGGGGTCGGCCACGAGGTTCAGGCCGGGGGTTCGCAGCCTGTAGAGACCCCGTTCTGCCCAACATACCACGAATACTCGGATTTCAATATGGCTTGCGTGTGCCGCTGGTGATTCAAATTTTTTGGGCCCAAATCTCGGAAGCTCCTCAATAAGAGTGTTGGGTTCAGGTTCATCTTGCAGATAGGTTTGACGAATGTGTCGCTATCCGGCGCCTTTTACTTCTGTGTCCCAAAACAGTAGGGTTCGCCGGCGCGAGCAAGAGATTGTAAACACTGGAGCCTCCTTATAATCTAGCTGTGACCGTTAATCGACCCATCTATGCCGAGGCTTGAGCCCTGAAGACGAAACAGCCTTCAGATAGAAGCAGCCATGCGAGGCTAAGCCATCAGATATATATATATATATATATATATGCACACATATATATATATATATATACACACATACATATATACATATATACACACACAGACACGCATCATCCAAGCAAATCTGAAGTGTATCAAGCAGGAGGATCATGAGGATCCGGAAAAGAATCCCGGAACCCCTGCGTTGCCTTGCAGGCTCTTCGGAAGGCTTTCCGGTTGGCGCAGGGCGACCTGGAACGATCCTTCAGCTCGATGCAGGCCTAGACGTTGGAGTCGACTGGGTTTGAAGTCAGAGATGCCCTGAAACCTTGTTCTCATCAAGCCCCTACCTTCTCTGCCCAGATACAAGAATAGGGGCCTTGTAGGCCTTCATCGTGGATAGTAGCAGAGAGTAGTATGGCTAGCCAAAGAAGAGATCGAGTTGGGATTCTTAGGGTTTAGGGCATGGGGTTTCGAGTTTAGGACAAAAAGGATTTGGGAGCTGAGGGTGTCAGCTTGGGGGTCGGGTGGGGTCGGCTTTGGGGATCTGGCTTCAGTGCTGATTCTTGGGTGCATTTTTACTTAGAATCGGGAATGAGACAGGGACTAAAGGTCATTCTTCCTCAGCGCTGAGACCTTTACCGTTCGGGCATAAGAGGTTGACCCTAAACCCTCAGCCTACACCCGAGACCTTAATCCCTAACCGCTGAGCTCCTAAATCTTTAGCGTCAAGAGGGTGTAGGGTCTTCTGAAGAGCTTTAGGGACTAGTTGTACTGGCTTGCGGCTTAGTGAGGGTTATATAGACCGAGCTACCATTTTTCCGGGTTTGAATCTACAGGGAGGGTTAAGGAGTTCGACGTGTAGGATTTCTTCCCGCTTCCTTGAGATCGACATAGTGAACCCGGAAGCCACAAAACCTCAAGTGCCTTGTATTTTCGGGCGAGCGGCCTCGACCGTAAGTTAGAAAAGCCCGAACTCAAAGCGCAATGCCCCAAACGTTAAACTGGAATCCGTGGGAGTGTTTAGGGCTTGTGTCCCGGGTTGGAAGAGGGTCTCCTAGATGGTCCATATATACTACTATTGTGGGAATCAGGTCACAAACCATCATACGGATGGTCTTCTGGGACCCAACTCCGTGACGGTAGTAGATATGAATCCTTTTTGTTTTCGGTTTTGAAATTCAATCCATGGGTCGCGGCGCCAGGTTTTTAGTGGAGCGACCGTGGCGCTGTGCCGCGGCTGCGATGACCAAATCCAGACTCCAAGCATTAATTAACAAAGCCCCGGAGACCCCAACCCCAAAGCCTTCATTGCACCCGGAACTACTGCCTACACAGTTCGAGGGCATGCTTCAGAATTTGTACTCAAGCAGCCGACTTCCCCCAACAGCCGCATTCTTCTTGAAGGTATTTCTAGTAGGGGCTCATGCTTCAGGGCTTATGGGGGCTGAGGCCTTCGAAGGCCAAGCGTTTTGGGATTGAGGGTTTCAGTCCTAGTGCTGAATATCGGGGCCTTCATGACTTAATGACTTAATGATTTGAGAAGGTATGCTCGTAATGGGTATTCTCAGGATCCGTAAGGAATAGTATCGGTAAGTGTTAACCAGGCTTCCATACGTCCCTTTGTAAACCCGCCAGAAGACTTTGTAAAGCGCTAGGCTATAACTCTAGGCCCTTAGGAATGAACCCCGGGAGTGCCCTTACGAACCCCTAGAGACGAGAACCGACCGAAACTTCGAGAGTTGCTTGGTTGAAGCCTTGTGCGAGGCGAATCGAACATCTCAACCCTAAACGCAACCAGTGGTGTTATCAAGCGTTGATGGCCGTTTGGGATACCACGTTTAGCATCTAACCATCACTTCATCCTGATTCGCATTGACAGTCACAGAGGCTACAGAAATACTCAGAGCGGAGGGTCATTGATGAATATGAATGTTGTGGATGCCGAAGTAGCATTGGTACTGACTTCAGCAACTGTCGTGACAAGCATTCTGCGTCGTGCTTTCTCCGTCGGAAAGCTGCCTTGAGATTTCAGATACGGGCATGCCTGACGACAGCCGCCCTTTTTCCTCTAGAAGTCGCCTGCCTGGGCCGAGGTGCTGCATGCAACCCAGCGCCGGCACGGTCTGGTTCGCTACTGCCGTCATCTCAGAGCCCATCGTGGCTGTGGTTCGAAGGTGCAGGGGTTTGGGCCCACAGCGTCTAGCTGAAACAGCCCTAAATCCTGAGGCCGTAAACCTTGAATCCTCTGAGGTTGCTTGCTGGAGACAGGATAAGCAGTCACGAAGAAGGAACCCATAACAAAAAGCACCTTAGAGAAACCCCTAAACCCTCAAACCCAAAGGCCGCAAGCCCTAAACCCTCAGGCCGTAAACTTACAAAGCCCTTCTCTTAGTAACCCTTGTGGATCCCTTAAAGAGCTTTATAGGAAACCTCAGCTGAACCGCACGCCAAGTGGCCCAAGGTTGGCGACTCGCGAGTCGTACTGGGTGACATGGACTCAGGCCGATCTCGAAAAAGACGGGTGCAGAAGAGGGTGAGGAAACAGCTTGCGGTTTAGAGTGGTGGCTTTGGGGCGTAGGTGTTGCGTTTGGGCTTTCGGGTGTTGGGTTTGGGTTTCGAGTTTTGGGCACAGGGTTTAGGGTGTGTTGGGTTCAGGGTTCAGGGCTTTGATTTATAGACGTAAGAGGGTTTTGGGTTTGGGTTTGGGCTGTTGGATTCAGGGGGGTATATTGTGGCGTAATGATACAGGAACTGTATAGCATAGGGAGACAGGGGTTTCTCTTCAATGTATATATATGTATATATACATATATATATATGTATATTATGTGTATATATAATATTCTTGGTGAATATACATACATACATACATACCTACATACGTACATACATACATACATACATACATACATCTACATAAGCATGTGTGTGTATATATATGTGCATGCATACAGACATATACATATATATATATATATATATGCATTCACACATGTACAGATAACCAAAAAGCATGCACACCTTTTCAGTTAGGCTTCATCAAAGCCCCGATCAGGAGAATATCTAGGAATCCAAGGGTCCCAGACCCACTCGATAACAGCACCTCTCAGGTCGGCCCGTTTTCGCCACTACGGAGCACAAGGCTCGCTTCGTTTCATGGCTTTCTTGTGTTCTTAGAAGTTTTTTTAACTAGAGAGTTTGAAAGGGCAGAGCTTGAAACCCTGTCGCCAAGGGCCCACACAGCCTGCCTGCAGCAGGGGGCAGCAGAGAATAACTCAGCTCTGAACCCAACGAAGACAATTAATGTATTTTGTGAAATTTGTATGTGGAAGGGACCTGCATAAGTGGCTGCCCAAAGGCATGGCTTTAAATGCCATTGCTTCGTATGAGGCCAAAGAAGGGAAGTGAAGGAGAAACGCGCATGATCAGGTTGGAAATCGAATGAAGAGATCGAGGAAGTTTCAAGACATGCAACCAACCTAGCTATCGCAAGTTACAGCTTCGGCTATATCGAGGGTGATGCATGTGTGTGTGTGTGTCTTTGCGTCTGTTACTCGTTTTTTGTTGTTTTTTTGTAGGCGGGGGCGGTTTCTGAACCGTAAAGACTTTCTTGCAGCAGAGAGGACGCTTAGTTAAAGATCAAGTATCCTAGCCCTCCTATTTCGAGTGTATAGCAAGATTCCGTATGTCCTGAAACTCCCATGTATCTCGTGTTCCTCAAAATCTATCACTCAGATTGGCCATTTACTTGTGGAACTGCGATTTACCCCACACGGCCCCACGCCCATTCAACAAGGAGTCTTGAGAGCGGACCGCGGTGTCTGGTTGCGTAGATCGCCTTGCCTGTCTGTTTCTTCTGGAGCTTCTGCTCGGGGAATCATTTGGCTGTTGGACTGCCCTTGTCAAGAATTCATGACTGGGCTGCGTCCAACTACCACTGTTTCCACATCATGCTTATACCCAACCCTACCATGGAACCCTGACCAGACTGCCGTCACTGCACGCCCGATATTGCTAGCTTTCCCGTCGTGAACCATGTTCCGGCATTGGACACGAACGTTTCTAACCGTCCGCATTCAGCCACCATGCTGTATCCAAAAGTCTAACGAAACGAATTAGATTCAGATTCAGCATTCGGGTTGCAACTGTGGCCGTACTTAACTTGTGGCAGGGCATCGCAGCAGGCATCGTCATAGATAGCCGTGGCACAGCACTTCGGGTTTCAAGAAGCAGACGTCACACACGGACTCCACATGCGATATTCCGAAGGATGAGAGATTGACCACCCGGCTTCTCCCCAAGCAGCTCTTGAAGCCATTGGCTGCTTCCCCATATCGCCATAGAGATCCTGAAGCCCACGACCAGAGTACTAAGCAGCTTAAATATACAGTTGAAAGGGAGGGAGGGACAAAGACAGAAAGTCTAAGTGTATATAAGTGTGCATATATACATATATACAGAGCGAGACACAGAGAAAGAGAGAGAGAGAGAGAGAGAGTGTGTGTGTGTGTATGTGTGCGTGTTCTCGTGGTGAATAGGTTACTATGTATAGGCAACGCCCGTGTATACTATGTATAGCCGGTGCCGAAATGTCTTAGGCAAGATTTTTGACTGATGGAAAGAGCCCAGAGGAGCAGAATGTGAGGCCCACAACCCCGACGAATACAGTCGACTGGAAGCTGCTGGAGCGCAGGTAGTTCAGAAGAGGCCGTCGGGGGTTCAACATAGAGCTTTACATCAGCAGGGCCCAGAAGCCCAACTTCAAAGCCAAATAGCTGCAAAGTCCTGAAGCGCTCAATACCCAAGACATCACCGTCTAGAGTCTAGGGGTTTAGAGCCTACCATGGCATGGGGATTGCTAGGGGCCAGGAGCATCAAGTTGTGTTGCCTGTCTCGGTGTGTACACAGTGTTCGAAACCTGTAATTGTTGGTGGAATTTGATTGCCGTCGATCTGGAGTGATGCAGGACGGAGAGGGTGCAGAGTTTGGGTTTCGGGTTGATCTGGTCTAGTATGCTGGGTCCAATGATGCTGTCGTTCGATTGCATGCGGACAATGCCACTGCAGTCTTTATCGAAGGACGGCGCAAAAGCGGTTCCGGTCTTAATTCTTGATAACCATTGTTTGATGCCAAGAACCTTAGGACCCAGTTGGGTTGAGAGGGCGCAGGACTTGTAAGTGGCTTAGGGTTGGAGGCGTCAAGGTTCAGGGCTCAAAGCCTCTTGGGAAGGATGTTGGGCTTCGGGGGCGAGTTGAGCATGTCAGACCCATGGCCACGCTCCTAAACCTTAAGTAGGCCCTGAAGAACCGAACCCGTAAACCCCAGCTCCGACGCCTTTGGGCTAGAACAGGGCATTGTTGTGCCCTATGCAGAAAATCGGGCATCGATGCCATCTGTTATGCTTGTTGAGTGTGATCTCAATGTGAATTCGGCTGCGCAAGAGCCCTCTTCATAATCAAGTGTTTTTCAAGGCTACCTGGGCCCTGAAACTGCTCAAATCTCTCATGACGTTGTTATGCAAGCGATCCCAAGTCCCACCAACCTTCATCACACCTTTTGAGGCCCTTGATTCTTAGGATATATAGGGTTCCCAAATGCTAGTTCCTTGAGCTTTCAGATTTCATGATGTCTTCATTCTTCGAAGTTCACAATCATTTGGGCTCCTAAAACCCACTCGCCATGAGGTTTCAGAGTTCATGATGTGCAGGTATGACGACGGGGAAGTGGTCAGCCGGATATTCATTCCCAAGAGCCCGGGCAGAAATTTGGACCAGGGTAGTGTCTTGTTAATGGGTGTAGAGTGTCAGGTTCAAGGTTGCAGGGCTCGATGTTGTCGGTTTTGTGACTTTCGGAAGTTTAGGGCTTAAGGGATGTAGTGCTCAGGTTTCAAGGCTTTAGGAGGGAGTCCGGAGCTCAAGGCTCGAGTTCATGTCTCGGGGTCGGCAATTGGCCGGATGCTCACCACACGCATTTCCCGACCGCGACCATGGCTTTCAGCATCACGATCATGCTTGAAACAGCTATGTGCAGACTGCCGAAGCAGGACATTATGATGATTAGGATGATGATGACTGTGGGGATGATGATGACTAGGATCTTGACGATGGTGATGATTAGGATGATTAGGATGATAATGATTGGGATGACTATGGTGATGTTGTTGTTGATGATGATGACGCTGATGAAGAAGAAGAAGATGATGATGCCTTGAACGTGCAAGGGTGTTTGAATCCTAGCCCTCAAAAACAAACCTCCTGAGGACAGGAGTGCCAGGGCTCGCGATGTCGAGATCCCTCGGCGATGGCTGCCTGAAGAAGTGACCCAGGAATACAGGGGCCTTACAAATACTTCGAAGAGTTTTTCAAGAGGTCTTGAAGGGGATTTGTAGCGGCGGGTGGGTGGGGACGGGGGGAGGCGGCTAGGTGGCTTGAAGGCTTATCCCTACAGGGTGTCTACACAGCTTTGTGGGATGTTATGCTTGGCGCGCGGCTGCTGGGGTGGCTAATGGGATGCTGAATGTCCAGATTCTCCCATCCGAAACCTTGGGTCTTGAACCTGGGGCCATTTCGAGTTCGCGAGGCTCTTCTAGCAGAACTTAAAGTCAACGTGAAAGGCTGAAAGCGAGACCGCGAAGCCCTAAACTCCAAAACCCAAGCGGTAAAGCCTAACATACAGTGTATAGCCCTGCAGCCTTTTTATTCCCCACATCCTACACCACAAACCACTGGCACCCAAACCATAACAACCCTAAAGCCTTCCCAAAGTGCCATACGAACCCTGTAAGCCCTCTGCAGAAAGCGAAATCTTCGTAACAGGTACGGAGTCAGTGCTGAGCCAGAGATTTCGAACATGACAGGCAGGAGTAGCACGTTTGACGTGTTTGTGCTTGGCGCGTTCATGTCTTGGAGGTATAGGCTAAACCCCCCTGTGTTAAGTAGAGTTCCGATTAAGAGGGGTTTAGTGGAGCGCATCTAGCTCGTTGGGAATGTTGGTGAGTGTACACTTGGAGTATTACCTTGATTGGGCGAGCGAGTGAGGTGAGAGAGTTGTGGTTTCAGAGCGGTTCGGGGGAGGCACTCGGGTTTAGGACTTTGCTTTGGTTGGAGCGTTCAGTGTCAGAACTTTTGGGGTGCCGGGGCTTCGGGTTTGACTTAGCTCTTCGTCTCCGGGATTTAGGAGTGTGCAGCCCCCTTCTATGTTTCCTGTGACCCCAAACCCCATTTGATCCCCAGCAGGTCAATGGCAATCTTGCCGACTACCGAGCGTCATGTTGGCAAGCGATGGCTTGTGGGCGGCTGGCTGAGCTTGGGAAAGCCTTGGACGATACAGGGCTTAAGGGTAAGAATACATGAGCCATCGTTACAGCAAGGCTCGAGGGTTGTCTGGGTTTTGGTGACGTGGCCTTACTGATGTTTTCACCACTCTTAGAGTATATTTCTATTCCGGCAGAAGATTTCCAGTTGTTCAGGCTCGGGCGTTTTTTTGGGAAGGTATATGTCGGCAGAGCCAGCTAGGCTTCTGCTTCAAGTCCTTTTTGAAAGCAACCGTCTGTGCTTTGCGCCCTAAACCCTGGACCCGAAGAAGGGGTCCGCACTCTTCATTTCTACAATCCTGAAGTCCTAACAGCGGATCATGTTTCGTCTGCGCTCGCTCATAGCATCACAACGTGCAGGGCAAACACCCATTGCTTCTGTGCACATTCGGGCCTGACGGCGAACAGGTTACTTTCGTCATTGCTGCTACCCCTGAAACTGTCGCGTGTCCGTCTGGAACCTGATTTGCATGTGCATGCATGCATGTACGTATGCATACAAAGGGCATGTGTTCGAGTTTTTTCTGCATGCTTGTGTATGTGCTCGTGTTTGCAACGTTCTTGGCCACTCGAACATGTGTCCCTGGACAAACATTATAGATATGCATGTGCATCCTCATCGATCTGTCAGCATGTCTACTGTCTACTAACGAGCGTATGTACATATGCACGCGTGGCTCTTTTTTATGTTCACTCTCTCTCTCTCTCTCTCGCTCTCTACCTTTGTCTCTCAGCAACTTCCATCCATCCAGCTATCTGTTTTTGCATGCATCCGTCCATTTATCCGCCGATGCATGCGCACATCCATGATGATGGCCTGGTCGAAGCTGTACAGCAGGGTGCAGCTTGCAGCTGGTCGGGCTTGGCATCAACTTGCTGCAGCAATTCAGCTCGGGCGACGACGAGCCCAGATTGAGGGCAGCCCAAAGCTCCAAATTTAGGCATCCCAGGTTTGAGGACAGACCCTTGGATTCGATGAATCTTGAGATCTCTGCTTACTTCAGTAGGAGACCATGGTTGCGAGGGAGCTTCGGGGTTTGCATTATAGTCCTCTTGCTCTTCGAAATTTCCTCAACTTAGCCCCCCAACCTCTTTCGTCTCGTCTTTATTTGCAGAAGGTCCGTGACCCGCCATGTACATACTTTCGGCCCGCCATGCAGGGTGCTTCAGTCGACTGGGAATGGGCACAGGCTTGGGATCTGCGGCAGCGAAGCGACGAATGGCTGTTTCTAATTCTGGCTGCCGGCATGGGGTTTCTCGTGTCGGCGCTGCTGCTACTACTACGAGAGACTTTTCAATAGACCAGCCTGTGAAAGCTGCTTGTGTTTTATGATTCTGCTGTGGTATTTGTTAGAAGTTGGTTCCGTTGGGCATCGGGGAAGTAAGGAGAACCCATCCACGGGCATGGACTTGCAGATGATTGGCAGCCGCCGAGATCAGAGAAGGCTACGGCGCCTGGTTCTGCCAGCAAACTGTGTGCAAACCGTGCCGCAGGACATCGGCTGAAGCTTCAGGGTTTTCCATGTATTCCTATCATGTGTGGGCTTTTTGCTACCTTCTGTGAGCAGCTCATACTCGTAGGATGTGATAGATGCGAAGATGAGGCTGAAGACCTGGAGTTTCCTACCGGATCTAGAAGCCCCGAACCCCTGAGCAACACCTCAAAAAATGCACCCGCTGCAGATCCGCAGAAAGCGCCCGGAGGAGGCGAAGAAGAGTTCCCGCTCCGTTGCAATACCCGGCGTCTCTGACTGGCGCACCACCGCCACCGACCTGCTCCACGTCACCGCGAAGGCGCGACAAGCCGGACAAAGGCCGTGTGGCTTTCAGGTAAACGCCGTTCATCGATCTTCTCGCATCTACCCGACAAGCCGGTCTTGCGAGCTTTGACTTCGAGTCACCCCAACATCCTGAAGCCCCAATGCTCGAATGCACCTCATCCCGCAGTTTTGGATAGGGAGTCGGAGCTCATGAACGGAGATCTTTGCGATAACCCAAGAACAATGCGCCTACTTGGTTGGAGCTTGCGTGTTCCACCTCTTTGGAGTTTCAGCCCTTTCGTCGCCTACGAAAGGGCCTAAGGTCTTAACACGAGAGACAGGAGCCTTCCACTTCCCATGAAGTGGCTCGCCTCTGCTCTCAAAGCCGACATGAAGAAATCTGGAACCTATTTGCTACTAGCCCGAAACCAACAGATGAAGCTCGAAGGCCCGGCAAGCTGCTAGACCTAAACCCGAAACCCCAAAATTTAGTAGTTTGGGATGTCCCAGCTGCCAGGCCGCGATGGAGAAGGTGATTCCCAGAGGCCCGGAGGCACGGTGGACTCATCGGCAGGCCTGGCACCCCCTCCCTCTGAGGATTCGGGGTTTTCAGCTGTGCATTCGGGGTTTACTGCCTACCGCATAGGCTTTTCGGCCCAGGAGCTTTCGGAAGTTGTTCTCCTTGGTCGTTGAAAAGTGTGCTGTGCCTCAATCACTCTCCATGTCTGCATGTCCATCAAATTTCATACCCGAGCGTAACATCAATAGTTCTTCTACAGAAGACATTGACCGTTTTCCCTAGATTGGAGCTGCTTATTTCTCAAAGAGCTAGTCAGAAAAGGTGCCTTTTTGGAAAACCCACTTAAACCCACTTTGATCGCAGAAATGAGCTTATCATTCTTGGGCCCCTATGCCCGAGCACCCTCAACTAGACAGCTGAAGGTGATCCCGGAACGCTTGAACCAAGTTGACTGCCGACCGGTTCTGGTTTTCGTCAACACCCGCACCCTGACTGGAGTTTTCGGTATAGTAGCATTAAGAACAATGTCTTATCGTCGGTTTCGCTCTGCGTTGTGATGCAACCGTACACTATTTTTCTTCAGGCTTTGGATCGTCCATCGCCCATGGCCTGGGTGCTGGTTAAGGCTAAAGCGGTACTCAGGGACTGGGGCTTCGGGATGAAAGCCTTGTGATCCTATGCATCTGCCACGCCCTACAACCCTGAACCCTAAACTCTGAAGCTTTTAGGTCTTTAAGTCATTGCAGGCCAAAGCAAAGTTGATCTACTAGCCTTCGGTCAGGGCTTGGGATCATGAGTACTCCGCCCGACTTTCTCGGAGCTCGTGCCGCTCTGCAAGCTTTAAGGGCTACTCGGGTATAAAGAGCTTAGGCCTTGTAGGGCATATATGGCTTTTAGGGTTCGGGCTATAGGGATTTATGTCCTGATGCTGTTTGCCATTTCAGCTGTATCCAGGCTTCACGACTGACGTAGAGTAGACTAGAAGGTTCAAGGCTTCAGGAGTATAGAAGCATACGCAGTCCTGGCTTTGTAATCCAGTGCCCGTGTGACCATACGGGCAAGTATCTGCCGGGTATGCTTGCTTGAAGCCCTGAAGCCGGAGTTATACTCCACATGTACAACCTAGATCCTGGTGACTTGCTGCAAAACACTGAATGCAACTTGAAGCCGAACTCAGCTGCAACCGCTGGGTACAGGTCATGAAGGCCCCCCTGGCCCTAGCCCCGTAGCCCATCCTAGCCCCCCTGAGGTCAATGCTATTGAAGCCTCAACCCGAAACTCAAGTTTAAAATGTCCACTGGCAAAACGAGCTTAAACCAATAAGCCCCAAACCGCCCTTCAATCAACAAATCCTAAATCCCAATGACGTGAAGAGCAATTAAACGAATCTCGAAGGAAGTGGGGGCCAGCAGGGCTTCAAAGTGATGACCGAGATGAGGAATTACCTCCACACCCTGCACCTACGGCTTTGGGTTCAGAGTTTGGAGTCTGACTGCAGCATGAGGGACTTTCAGAGGATAGGCATAGTATGAACCGTAATACCGTAAATACGAGAGAATCTCCCTAAATCCGGTATATACGCTTGTTTAGCCAGTGCTTCTGGGCATTCAAAGTCTGATGGTGATTGCCGAAACCCAAACAAGTATCTGAGGAACGACGAGAACCAGGCTTTCTAGCTGATGTAACGGTGTGCACGTAAGCTTCATCCCTCTGAAGGTCTCGCCTACAGGCGTAAAGTCCCTGAATCTCGTGTTGTCTTCACTGATTTTAGAAACGCTGGCCTATAAGGATTTGTTGTTTGGTGCAGTCCTCCTATTGCGGTATGAGGTTGAGGCTGCCAAGCCATCAAGGCCCAAGATCCCGAGTCATTCAGGCAAGTGGTGGATCTCCAGCGCGAGGGCCCTGAAGCTGCACTGAAATGGTGGGAGAAGACCGGCCTGAGGCGCGAGGTTCTTTTTTTCGAATTCCTTTAGGGGCTATAGCCAGTGTAGTGCGGCTTGTCTTAAGGGTTCGAGTAAGGTTTAGGGTTTTTGTTTTGGGATGAAGGGGAGTGTGGGGCTCTAGGTTCACACTCGAGCTTTAAAATTGCAAATTCTGGGTTCACTGCGGTTCAGTACGGGACCCGGAGTTTGGAGCTTAGGGGATTTGGGGTGAAAGCGTTCGGGGTTTAGTTTTTTGGTGCTCTGGTGATTCGCAGCTTCCACAGGGTATGCTCAGCTGTTGCTGTGGATTGGCTTCAGGGATCAGGCTTTCGGAAACCCAAAGCCCTAAACCCCCGAATCTCCCGTATCTTTGGCAATCCTGAAGAGGTACCGTATCCTCGTCTGTGGCGGTGACGGAACAGTTGGCTGGGTTCTCGGCGCTCTCTACCAACTCGATGCTTGGCAACCTTTTGAACGCATTGCGTTCAACATCCTTGTTTGCTGGGCCCAAGAAGCTTATCCTCAAAGACCTTGTGCCATCCCTTTAACTTCTGATTCGGTTCCAGGGACAAAGACGGCTGCTGCACCCCAAATCCTTAACCCCAAATGCACGAGGCTTATCCACCCTATACCCACTATACCCTAAACCCTCGTTAAACGTGCTGTTTTATGCCCTTCCCAGGGCCACTCGGGCTCATTGCAAACCTCCGAAGCCCTCCACCCTAAATCAGCCCTAAACCCGAGACTAAGAACTAAAAACTCTCAACGGCTTTCTCAGGAGTTGGCTTACCTGCCTCCTGTTGGAATTCTTCCTTTGGGCACCGGGAACGACCTGGCGCGAGTCACAGGACCAGCAGAACGTCAGGATGATTTCGGGCTTGCTTCTTGACCCAAAACCCCAAACCCTTAAATCTTTTTGGGCTCTTGGATTCAGGTGGCACTTCAGGGCTCGGAGTGCGGAGTATACGGTCCCAAAATAGAGTGCAAGGTCTGGCGTATAGGCATTGGGGGTGACTTGTAACCCTGAACATAACTGTACTGAGAACGAGAACCCGATGTGTTTTCTGGGGTTCCGGCTCAAACATAACCGGGTAAAGTGCTTTGTGGTTTGTTCCGGACCGTGGGTGGTGGGCATTCTGGGCTACCTCAGGGCGAAGTAAGACTTGCAAGAGAGTTGCTCCGGGTTGTGAGCTCGTTGAAGTTGAGATTGAGGCCTGCACCGCTTCGCCCAATAAGCAGACTACGCGGTTCCACAGGATCCTGACCTTCTGTTTCTTCCGATTTGCCAAGTGCTCCAGCGTCTGCTGAGCATCAAGCATGACTTGAATCCTTGCTTCCTCAACTCCAAACCCAAAAGCCGTAATGAAGTCAACTGGTTGGTTAAGCGGAAGCAGTAGGAGCCCTCAGTAAAGCCCTGAGCTATCCACCTATACCATACCCTTAACCGACATCCACCACCTCGGAGTTCAATCCACATGTCCTGAGCTTGTGCGCTAAATCCTAAACTCCAAGCCTGCAAAGACGTCTTAATCAAGCTTCAAGCCCAAAAAACCCTGAACTCCAAAGCACGAGAAGCCCTCATCAGCCTGTCATATCAGAACATGTTTCAACCCTATATGACCCCTGAAAACTCGCAACACCGCTGTAAGGCTGTAAGGCAGCTCCTTGAAGGAACCTTTTTCCCATTAACCCTTCTAGCAGTCCTTACAGTTCTAGAGTCGGACAATTATGTAGGGGCCTGCTCGGAGGATGGGGAGGTGGCTTCACCGCTAGCAGCGTTCTGCCTGTCCTGCAGCGAGTGAACGAGGTGAGCCTCCCTCTTCTTCGTTTAGTTTTTAATACAGAGTCCAGGGTGTAGTGGAGGCAAAGAAATATTCTTCCTGATAGGGTTCTTGAAATATGGTCTATAGCAGTATAGTCACAGTATAAGCCTCAAAGCTCCTTTCCAGCCACCTTGGCTTCTATGCTAGGCCATACGATTCGGGGAGTGCATAGGGTTGAGGGTTGGACTGTGGGCGATTTAGTTCTTAGTGTCATCATGCCAGTGGGATTTCTGACTACAGGCTGGGGCTTAGAGTTGAGTTTTGTGGGGGGGGTGTAGCGTTTGAGGGTCTAGGTTGGCTTTAATTTAAGGCTTCAGTGTTCAATGGGTTGGGACAACAAAGGACCTTGAAAGCCAAAATGCCTCAAGCGCAGGCTCACGCTGAGCTGCTCGACCGCTGGACGGTGCCTTGGGCACACAGCGCCTCAGGGCGAGACTCTAGAATAGGCGCTTTCAACAGAGATCATAGGGTTTTGCAATAGCTGCTATCATTGGGCTTTACAAGGCCTTGAGCCTTGACAGTCGGACTTGGGAGATTATGGTGTGAGTGTTGTGCACAGTATAAGTGTATAGGAGCTGGAAGGGAACACCTTTGCTAATTATTCCGACCCTTCTGTTGTTTCTCTTTCAATGCGTTCCCGAAACCAAAAGCTCTAAACCCTCGCCCTAAACTCGAAGCCCTAGACCCTAAGCTACCAAATGGGATTGTACGTGCAGAGCACAGACAAGGACCCCAGCAATAGAGCCCTTAGAAGCCCTACATACGATCCATCATGGAACCTCGACCCTGGAATTTCCGGCTGTAGCTTGAAGAGGCTGATTGTGGCTTGGGTTCTACAAACCTTAAACCCTAAGCCCCAAGCAATAAACTAGGGCTTAAGGTCCGGACTACGTTCGAAGTGTGGGCTCACAGGGACGTGTTGTACACTGTGGAAGCCTGTGCCAAACCCTTAAGGCCTTAAGTGTCCCAACCCGGAACTCGAACAGATTGCGTCCTGAACTGTAGTCCGAGGACCCCCCAACCTGAAACCGCGACTCAAAGCCGAAATCGCAGGCCACCTTTAGAGTTTAGGATTTTCTTGTAGAGAGAACGAGAGAGAGACAGCAAAGTCTTCCATTTTGGCTGTTTTCAACTGAGCCAAGGTGACCTCCAGCAGCCCGCCTTGCACGGATAGTTTCCGGGGAGGGTAGGTGCCAGGATAGGGAGGATGAGGGAAGGACTTTTGCACCTTTCATTTTTAAACCTCACAGCCTAAGTTCCAAACTTAGATCTTATAGCCATTATAGCCAGCAGTCATCGAAAAGAAACGATGATGTCAACAGACCTCAAACCCCCAACCCTGAGCTCGGGCTTCAGAAAATTCAGACTTTCAGGGTTTGGGATGGTTTGGGTTTGGGGATAAGGGTCTGAAGGCATGTTCTTTCGCAACTTCTCTTTCGCACCCGGTTAGAGTTCTTGCAGAACTTGGCTATACTATCATATTACTATCACATACCCAAGGGCTTTCCATTCATGACGGCCCGTATTTCCTTCATCTAGCACTGCCAGGCCCTGAACAAGAGGCCTGTGCTTGAGGGCAACGCAGGATTTCGGTGTTGAAGTTCAGATTTCCTCAGTTCGGGTTACAGTTTAGGGTTTAGGCTTTGGGTTCCGGGGTAAATAAGTGTTGGGACTAAGGTTGGCTGGAAGACTTGCGGCCCTCTTGGTTGACCGGCGGCACATCGCAGGCTCCTTTGCTTACTGGGTTTCGGGCGTTTGGCTTCTGTCTCGGATTCAACCGTTCTTGCCGAATAGCAAACGTGGTTTTCTACATTTCTTATGGGTCAGGTCAAAGAGCGACGGCTGAAGCCCATGGTGATGAGCAACTACTTCGGCATAGGCCGGCGGCTGTCTGTGGATCGTTGCTAAGAGTCTGGGTTTAAGAACTATGGCTCAAGGCTTATGGCTTGAGGCGTAGTGCGTTTGGAGTTCGGGCGTAAGGCCAAGGGTGCGGGTTTTCAAGGTTTCGAGTTCAGGGTCAGGAGTCCGGGCTTTAGTTGAGGCGTTGCCGCTCAGTGATTTGGGCGAAGGGTTGCTTGCTTAGAGTGTTCGTAGATAGGTAGGGTTTTCTTGGCTCCCACTATGCCTCTACTGAAGGGCTCATGGTGCATTGGTTGTAGGACTCGGGGCGACAAGTTAGATTTTAGCTTTAGGACTTAGGATCCTCTAGCTTTGACAGCGGGTGCTAGGCAACTGCGGCCTCGGTGTTTGAAGACTGTGGTCTCGAGGTGAAGGCAGAGTCCAATCAAGACCGGCTTCTTCAAAGATTATCTTTGCGGTTGCACCAGAAATCGAAACCCATCAGCTCCGACCCAACTCCGCCTGTAGCAGCAAGCCGCAAGCCATAGCCGTATCTGGCACAGCCTTGGAAAAGTGTGAATTCGAATAAGAGCTCAAAACATCCCAGGCCGCTAAACCTACATGGAAAAGCCTTGGTTTTACTGAATCTTCCACCTTCTACACCCTAAACCCAAGGCGTCGATGCAGCAGTCGCACTGGACTTCCATCAGATGCGGGAGCGCCGACCAGAATGGCACCTAGCTGCATCCTGATGTGGCCTGATCAACTGGTAAGAATGGTTTCTCCCCCGAAGCCCTACTCTCATTGTCAAGACTGATGTATGGGCATGCAGGCCTGCGACCCCACGCATGTGCCTTCAAAGTTGAAGACAAGCTGGGACAGGTAGGACCTTCAAAAACTGTCAGGCCTTCAAGAGGCATCGTACGTCCAAGTCTTTCACAGGGGTTTCAGATGCCGTATCACTACACCGACTCCGTGAGCACCAATTCCTCGAACTCTGAACCGAATGCCAGAACCCACACCCACACACCAAACCCTCGAATCCTGAGCCAAAGGACTGAACGCCTCAGTCTTGGACACGAAATCTGAACTTGCAACCTGAGCTCCAAACAGAGCTTTCAAGCAAGTCAGGTTCAGAGGATTGTCTGAAGAGCTGAGCCCGAAATCTCCAACCTCAAGCCCACCTCCCCGGAGCCCAGAGTCCCACCAAAGGTTTTGGTCGCAGCTAGTCAACAAGCTCTGGTACTTCAGGCCTGCCCCCATCTCCTGGTCAGGGCTGCGGTTACAGGCTAAGAGGTTGGGGAGGGTGTTTCGCCTGGCATCTGGGTCTCACGTTCTCTGAACTTCTGAATTCCAGATTTTTATCAGGGTGTTATTCATGCCTTTGGGCTCCTAGAGTTTGACGGGATCTGACAGGGTTCGGCAAGACTGCAGCTGCAGCTTGCTTTCTGTCACATGGTGGCTTCAAAAATCTCGAAATTCCAGGCTCTACACAGCCTTAGCCCCATTCAGCCCCAAGCCTTCAACCCTAAATCCTAGGTGGTTCTCTTCGGTCAGGTGCGCTCTTGCGTCCCTATACTCACTCATACTATGATGGAGTCCGACAATTCTGAAGGCCAACTGCTATTAGGGCCCCGTGAAAGTTGTTACAAAAGGAACGTCAATCGGGACCCGTACGACTTCTCAAGAAGACTGTGAGCGAGCGTTGAGCAAGGCTTCATGAAGGGGGCTTTGCTACCCTTTTTGAAGCGGGTTCGGGGGTAGCATGCGAGATTTCGCGAGCGATGCGTGTAAGCGGCGACCCGAAATTTTGAAGATGCCTATCAAGGGGCTCGATCTTTTCCCAACTCAGCTTTCCGAGAGGCTTCTGTCCACCTCTAGACTCCAGATGTAGTGGGGAGCAGGAACGCCCGAAGTCTATGGCAGGAGTGGGGCTGTCGCCTGGCTGGCCAAGACATGCGCCAACATTGGGAGTAAGATCGAGGTCCACTGTGCAGCTTGGTCGGCAGTCCAACCCCTAGAAGTGTTACATAGATTTTAATCACATTGTATTATATATATATATATATATATATGTATATATATATATATATATATATATATATATATATATATATATATGTATATGCGTATGCGTATGCTATGTTATTATGCTATGTTAAGTTATGTTAAGTTGCGTATGTATGTATACCGTATGTAATGTATGTATGTATGTTTGTTTGTATGTATGTATGTATGTATGATTGTATGTATGATTGTATGTATGATTGTATGTATGTATGTATGTATGTATGTATGTATGTATATAAGGTTTTAGGTGTGGCTGCGGTTCAGGCTATTGGGGTTGTCTGCTTCCAGCTTTTACGGTTCAGGCGCAACTGTCACAGCATAAGGGTTTGGGTTAACGGTTTGGTTCTGCTACAGCACTGCACCAATAATTAGGGGTCGGAATCTGGCCAGGAATACTTAAAGCTGTGGAAGCCGTTCTGGGCATACAAGCCATGCATGACACCACGCGCGGTTCTCGCTCCGGGCTGCTATGGTTAATAGGTTGATATTGTTGCTTGCAGGTGCACATGCTCCGCGATGGGTGCGCTTGAGAGTGTAAAGTGTCGGGTCGTTTTGTAGAGCTTCTGAATTCTGTTTTCCATGCTCGAGAGATGACTTTCCCATCCGAGGATGGTGAAGCCGCCGGCTCCCCAGCAGTTGGTTTCGGTTCAGGGTTCTTCAACATCGGCTTGTGCTGCGCACTTACGTAGTTCGAGCAGTAGGGAACACAACGATGTTTCGGAATTTGGCTATCGTTACACGTAGACTACCTTCTATCTGCTTCAGCATTGGCAGGACACTTACGTCATTTGCTTTACACGAGCTTTGGATGCCTGTCTTTCCAGCGCTCGGAGGATTCGGACTGTGGAAGCCGCGTTAAAAGGCTTGACACCATTTCTTTGAAGGCCCGAGATCGACAGGTCCGATAGATCATGTGAGGTGGAGGCATGGTCTCAGCCCGGATTCCATTTGTTTGTGGGACAGAAGGGTCAGAAGGGCTCGGGTTTACAGAGTGCTGCAACCTCCTGCGTCTGAACCCGAGCACTAGAGTACAGACGACGTCTAAGCAGAAACATAGATCTCACGACACGCTAAAGTTCTTACCACCGGCATTCTCAAGCCCCAGATCGAACCAGATACCCAGTGAGCCCCCTGTTCCTGAGTAGGACTCTTAATTCATTTATAGTTTAGTACCCAAAACGCTTATTGAGGCCCGTTGTCGCACAGCCCTTGGGTTTAATTCATCGCCGCACAGTATCATGGAATGACATCTAACATACAGCAAGGTCGAGATCCCTTCTTCGCTAGAAGGCATCATCGTCCTCAACATCCCCAGCTTTGGGGGAGGCGGCATGTGGGCCAAGAGGGAGGGGCAGTTGTAAGGGGTCAACCCGAAACCATATTCACAAAAGGCGCTAAGTCCAAAGGCTTACACTTTTGTGGTATAGGGCCTATGAAGACTTTGAACCGAGCCTTTGGGCACGGATGAGAGTCTTGTTAGTGAAGGCGTCGGGCGTGTTTACGGTATCGGAGTCGGGTGCTTGTTGTCCACGGCCATTTCAGGCGTAAAGTGTGCTCCTTCGGTTGGTGGTTGTCTAAAAGCCTCAGCTTTGAGGGAATCCTTCGACGGACCCATAGGGAACCCTTTAAGGAGCCAAAGTCAGCTGGCCTCTGCAGGTTCAATCGACAGGCATCAACTCTCAGACTGGGGTATTCGAACCATGTCGTAAAGCCTTGATCTTCTGATCAGACTGGACCCTTACCCTTACACACCCGTGCGGGGCCCTTATCGAGCCCCTTACTCTGCACAAAAGAAACTCTATCGAACCCTGACAGAAATCCTAACCGTAAACGTTGAACCTTGGTCGCCAGCTTTCCCAAGCACTTATGTCATGTGCTACCCTGGTGGATCCCGTAGCCTGTCTGACTTATACGGTAGCCTTGCAGATCCTTTAAAGGAGCCCTTGGCAAGTAACCAGACTTCCTGGCAGGCACCGACCTATGGGGCCGTGCCGAAGACGAAGCCGGAGACGAGGAGGCGACATAAGGTGAAGGCAAAATAAGGTAGTTCTCAAAATTAGGGTCCCTTTTCGGGTATTCTAAATATTAGGTGCCGTATTATAACAAGGACCCAAAGAGGGACCCGAATTTTTGACAGCTACCCTAACAGGGGTAGTAGTGATCACAATTTGGGGGCTATATTAGGTAGTATAAGGAACAGATTCATTTAAAGACGATGAAGAGACCACTAGCCCGTCTAAAATATCGGCGCTGTTCTCTAAACGAGGCTCCCTTTAGGGTCCTTTAGGGTTCAGGGTTAAGGTTTTTGGGTTTAGCGTTTAAGGTTTATAGGTAGTTCTCCAAATTACGGTCCCGTTTAGGGTCGTTGAGGGTTTAGGATGAAGGTTTTAGAGTTTAGGGTTTATGGGTTGTTCTCTAAATTCGGGTCCCTCTTAGAGTCCTTTGTTAGAAGGGTGGCCTACTATATTGGGACTTAAAAAGGGACCCTCAAATGGAGAACTACCCATATGGGCCTTAGCAGTAAGGTTCCTTTACAGGGCTTTACAAGGGTGGCGAAAAGGGTTTACTTAGGGACTGAGTGCTGTGGATACAGTCGACGAGGCCCGCATACGCCAAAAAAGATGAGTTTGCTGGAGTGGAACAAAGTTGCAACAATTTGGGCCAACCTAAGATTGAAGGCTCAGGTTAAACTTGTCCAATTCCAGAGCGCCAAGCAGCAAAGTAAGAAGGTTGAGGCCTGATGCGGTGTCTTCGAGGGTTGTGCAGCCTACGCTGTTTGAGAGGGATGAAAACTGATAACGTGTGGGACTTTAAGACTTAGGATTGAGGGTGGCTTTCTCGGGAACGAAGGCAGGATTCCTTGACGGTCTGGTGTTGAATTTTTTAAATGCTAGGCCCCTGCTGCATGGTATGCTTTGTTTCGATTTTGAGGTGCTTGGCTTCAGGGTTTCGGGGCTCAGGGTTTCCCGGAGAATCTACAGCAAGGTGATTGACTTTCAAAGATCATTCTGGCGCTTTCTGCTTTTTGTCGCTCCAGGCCTAAGTTCCTGGGTTCCGTGTTCCGCGAAATCACAAACTCTACGAGCAGAAGCTAAGGTCACGGCAACTACTAGTGGTATTCCCTTCGAGTCTCGGTATTTCATAATTTCCCCCGACTTCTAGAACACCACAACACAATAACATCCTGGAAAACCACATAAGACGCCAGTAAGACCCCGGAAAGACTTTCGTCAGGGCAGCGATTCCGACGGTTCCTTGGCGCCCTCCGTCAGCTCAGCCTCTTGGGATTCTCAGAGTTTAGGGTTTGAGGCTGAGTTCCGCACTGAGAGTTGCCCGGAGGGGCCGGGCCCCAACAAAACTGAGCCAGAAGGTGGCAGTTGAGGACAGGGCCTGCCTTTAAGGGGTCCCTTCAGGATGTCCATACGGATGGTGGCTGATGGTGATACTGAGGATCCGAAGGATTGTGGTTTCCGACTCAACGCAAGAAGTCCTATCCCAGCTCGCTCTCCTGTGCATCAGATACGCTCAAAGAGAAAAAGGCACAAGTGCCGTAAACTAATTGTAAAGAAACTCAAGCATGACATACCCTCTGTGTACACTACTCCAATGGTGAAAGGTTTTTTTTGACCGAAGCCTTCCAAAGCGGCCAGCTGGAGGTCGGGAATCCGAGTTTCCAAGGCCGACAGTCGATGCAGGACAGGAAGCTGGAGGCGGGTCGGGTGAACCGGTTTAGGGGTTCAGGGCCTAAGGCTTTGGGGGTTGACGGGGAGAGCGAGCGAGTGGGAGAGAGAGGGGGCGAGGGAGAGATGAGCATGTAGACGTGTGTATACGTGTGTAGAAAGATAGATCGATTACTCATGAATGTACAGTTGGTTTATGGTTGGAGGATTCAGGAAACTAAAGTGTTACCCGGTAACCTAACCCGTAGACAAAATCCCATGAAGACGGAGGCCGGGCTGATGAGAAGTTTGGTACGTGAGTTGCATATATGAGATTCTTGAGGAGGATTCCGGAACAAAAGCCAGCGTATCTCCCGGGCCTCAAGGCTGTCGGAAGACGTTGGCCATTACGATTGCGTGGTCAGACCCCTTTGGGTTCCATTGCAGGCCTTAAGCCGCGAAGCCTAGCAAATTCCGGGACCCTTACGCAAGGGCCCGGCGAATGCAAGCCCGAAGATTTCTCGCTTTTCGGTGGATGCCTAGATGGAGCACGACCCTGTTGGCGACGATTTGGCCCTTTGAAAGTCTTCGACGACTCTCCACAGAGTATTTGTGTGTTTGTAGGACCCTGTGCATGGCTTCCCTTCACTTCGCGGCATCAGGTGGCAAGCATCCCGCGCTGGGCCCCCCGTGAATGACCCAAAACCCCCGAAGTCCAGAGCCATCGACCCTAAATTCAACAGCCGTAAAGGAGCTCCTCCTTAATTTTCAGAAGTGCGCGGCCCCAAACACTCGGGGAGGTCGTCGGAGTCCACGGCGCCTTGCAGCTAGGTGCCAGCCAGGCGTGGTTCCGGCTTTGGGGATGTTTGGTGCAGAATCGGACGTGCTGGGGACACTTCCTGAAAGAGTCTTCCAGGACAGGGGTTGCTTTACAGGAACCCTATTGCAGAACCCTATACCAACTACCCTTAAGGGACCCCTGTGATACAGATGGTGCCATCAACAAGAGGCTCTTTCCGTCATGGGTTCAGGTCTCCGTCTACCCTGAACTTTGACTTTCCAGATTCTGAACCATCCGGTTTGGGGTCCAGGGAATCAGGGCTTCAGGACTTTAGGGCCTTGGCCAGGTGGGCCTCTACAAGGCCCATCGACTGGCACAGGGATCTTCGATAAAGGTGACCAACAAGGCCCACCTGATCTGAGTTGCAGAGCCTTAGGTGGATTTGGGAATTCGTAAAGGACTTAAAGTTTAGGGTGGGGCCCGTATAAGGTTTTGGAGGCTCGGAGGTTCAGATATGAGTTGGTCCAAATGGACCGAGGGAACTCGAGACGACTCTTGTTGTTGGGTCGCTTTTGACTGATTATGTTGGTTGCGTTTAGCGGAAAATTGGGTCGCCCGAAACCCTAAACCCTAAACCCCAGACACATTCCTTCTTGAGCTAGTTGTCTCGAAGTTCGTTTCAGGATGGATTCTGAATCTTCTGAGTACTGGCTCAATTGTTGTACTTCCGAATCTCGGTGATTCAGAGGTATATAAGGCTCGGGGGGGCACATTCCAAGTTCCTAAGATGTAGAAGACATCCCATGATCCCCAAAGTTGTCGAGAAACTGCCAGGTCTCCAGCAAACTTCGAGGCTCCAAACTCCCAACAGCCAGCTCAGCTGAAATCTTGATCCTTTGCCTTCTTCGCAGGCGTAAAGGGGTTAAGGGGGCTCCATATTATCACTATAGTATAATTTGCATAATGGGCCCCAAAGCCCTAGTCTAATTATTAAGGCCCCTATATAGGTCTGCTCAAGCGCGCCCCTTCTTGGGGACGCCGCTTGAAGAGAAGCCTCGGGCCTGCCGAGGCGCATTGAAAAAAGGGACCTTGTGACGAAACTGCCACCACGCCCTAAACCCTAAACCCCTAATCCGGAAGCCCTAAACTCTGAACTCTACAGCCTAAACCCCATAACCACGGCGAGGATGTGGAAAGGCGGGGCCGAGTACTGCGCTGGTCTTCGGACTGTAAGTCGCAGGTTTCACCCGAGAGGGCCAGTCCTCTCCGTGATTTTTTAAAGCGCTTCTATCCCGAAGAGGATTGGAAGCGCCTCTACATCTGGCAGATCGGACCTCCGAAGCCGCAGTGAAAAAAACGCGAGCCTTGCAACAGTGACATGGGAGAGACAGAAAGGAGAGAGAGGAAGAGAGAGAGGGGGAAAAAGGGAGGCGGCACACGCCGGCCAGCCCCGCCGGCCCGCATCAAATCCAAGAACACTGCGCCCAGGCCCAGGTTTGTCATGAAATGACAATCCCGCCCCCCTCACCCATTCCCCCCCCCCCGACTATGACATGGGCCGGATTCGAGAGGGCTTCAAATTGTCACAACGTGACAATCTGGGAGGGGCGGGGGGGGGGGGCAGATTGTCATGGCTTGACAATCTGGCCGCCGCGACCACACGAAGAGTGTGACGCAGGTGGGGCCCGGAGGGGCCCCAAATTGTAGCGGGATGACAATTTAAATTGTCATGCCCTGACAATCCTGCCCCCTCTCACCCCCTCCCCCACCCCCAAATTGTCACGCCATGACAATCTGCAGAAGGAACAGGCCCAGGATTGTCACGGCATCACAATCTAAATTGTCATTCCGCGACAATTTTATGGGAGGCAGGGCGTGACAATCCGGGCGGCCCGGATACACACAGTGCGCTTTTGGAGTTCGCATTTGCCCCCGCAAATGGCGGGAAAATGACATCCTTGTGGAAAGAAGGGTGGCCTAACCGCAGCATGGCTGCGGCGAACCATTCGACTGACCGGCCTCCACATGCCTAGCAAGAGCCGACTCACTGTTTCGCTGCAGCTGCCTTGCTCAAGAGTTGCGTCGCGATTTCGAAGGGTGGACTTCAAGACGATGGCACCAAAGGCCCGGCTGGGCTGGAGGAGTCATTGATTCTGAAGCGAGCTCGTCGCAGGTCTCGAAGCATGCCAAAAAGGAGGCAAAGCGTCAAGGCTGCACCAATGGTACGGTCGAGGCCTTTTGCTTCACGCCAGAGACTCAGAGTGCAGTGCAATTTATTTTTTCTGGGTGCCTGCCCCATGCCTGTTGCAGACGCGGCCTTCCACCCGACGTGGACGCGCTCTTGAGCAAGCAGCTGGACATGGGACGTGAAGCCCCGATCCTCGCCGTGCGGCCAGGTCGGCCCAAAGGCTCCGACTGGAGTTGCCAGATCCGGCTGTATGGTGAGGAGAGGGTGCGGCGGGCGCAGATCAAGGGCGTGTCTGAAGACAATAAGACCCTTGTTTCACCAGAAAATTCCACCCCTTTGGGATTATTTTTAAAACGTGCCTTCCACCCCAAAGAGGAATGGAAGCACGTGCACCTCTGGCGCCTCGAGCTAGAGCAGTAAAAAAAGGGTGAGTTTTGCATTGGAGCAGCAGCCTAGGGAAGTAGTAGGCAGGGACAGGCAAAGACAGAAAGCAAGACAGCATCACCCGGAAAGAAGGGAAAGGAAAGAGGGACACCAGAGCCCGAGGAGTTTAACGCAGCAAAGGGCCGGAGGGGCACCAGATTGTCATGCCATGACAATCTGGAGGACCCCGACCGCAAAAAGAGTGTAACACAAACGGGGCCGAGACAATCCAAAATTGTCACCACATGACAATTTTAATTGCCCTTTCGTGACAATTCGGAAGGAAGGCAAGGGAAGATTGTCCCGACATGACAATCTGGGCAGCCTCGGCCCCACGAAGAGTGTGACGCCCCCCCCCCCCCCAAATTGTCATAGCGGAACAATTTGAAGACGGCTTCATGCCCATGCCAGGATTGTCATGCCATGACAATCCTGGCCCCCCCTCCCTCCCCACCCCCCTCCCTCCAGATTGTCACGACGTGACAATCTGGCGGAAGAAAGCCCGAGATTGTCACGTGGGAAAAGGCCAGATTGTCATGCCATGACAATCTCCCCCCCTCCCCCACCCTCCCCCCCCCTCCCCCCCCCCCAGATTGTCATAAATGACAATCTGGAAGCGACCAGAGCCTCAGATTGTCATGCCATGACAATCCCACCCCCGCCCCCAGATTGTCATGAGATGACAATCCTGCCACCCCTCAACCACCCCCACCCTCGCCTTCCCTCCTCCCCCCCCCCCCCCCCCCAGAGTGTATCACGGGCCGGATTCGAAGGGACTTCAAATTGTCACAACGCCACAATCTGGGAGGGGCGGGGGGGGGGGGGGGCAGATTGTCATGACTTGACAATCCGGCCGCCACGACCACACGAAGAGTTATCGGGTCGGCTCTGCGCACAGCACACAGCCTGGCAGAGGTCGTCCTTCCTATCGAAGTCGATGGCGAGCCTATGTGGTTTGCAAAGGAGCATGCAGGGCTTGCGGAGTTCTGGGGGTTCCGAAAGTTTTGGAGACTCCAGAAGTTGAGCATAGGAGCCGCAGAAATCAACACGCAAGCTTGCCCCATAAAGAAGAACCGTGGCAAAGCCATCTTGATAGTGCATATAGTCAAAAATTCGATGTCCTCGGGGCTGCTGGGTTGAAGGGCCTTCAGGTTTGGGCTTTGTAGCTTTGATTGTAGTGTTTTATGACTTCTTCCAGCACCCTTGTTGCTGCATCTCTGTTTCGTCGGAGACTGCTTGAAAGTCCCTTGGCTCTCAAACTGAAGGCAACACTCTGAAACATACTTACACACCGCAGGAGCCCAAATCCCTAATCCCTGACCCTTCCCCCGAAGCCCCCAAACCTGGAGGATGGTGTCATCGAGATCACACATCAGAGCCAGGCAGGGACCAAAAGTTTAAAACGAAGGTTCGAGGCTTTGGGGCTTAGCATGTAGAAGTTTGCACAGGCAAGCATGTTTTGGGATCAGTCTTGACCTTTTCGAAGCGTTTGGGTTCGGTGCGTTCGGCCAAAGAGGCGACCGGGGCATGCAATATTAAATGAGTGTGAGCACGTTCGTGATAGCCAAAAACTACCCTTTCTAATCTGTCATACCCTCTGTAGGCCTTAAGGTGCCTATCGTCTAGGTTTGATCTCAACAGAGATTGGTTTCGAAGCGTTCAGCCTTCCTGGTTTCCGCCTCGAACCCTAAACTCTGAAGCCCCGAATCCTGACCTCAATCCAAAGCCCTAAACCCAAGGCCCCTCTGGATCCCTTAAAGAACCATTGGTAGCCGTATTGAGGAATGGGATTACGAAGCCTTCCAATCCATGCATCACAGGAACATCCAAGGCGTAACCGGTTCGGCTTTCGACTTGGACTTTTTGCATACATTGCCATCTTGACTTCCTCCGAACTTGCTTAGCAGGCTAGCATGTTTGAGGTTACGTCTCACGTGCGTGCACACTAGAGATCACACAGTTGCGACTCAAGGGCATAAGTCGCCTCAGCGTTCCCTGAGCCAGTGGATAAACACATGCATGCCCGGCTGGATGCTTAGACTCGTGCAGGCTTTCATGCTGGTCAACAGCAAGGAGAGCTGCATCCCTCCGCAATCGCAATGCTTCAGCCTGGGTGGGGTCGGTTTTGGGGCGTTGGGGTTACGTATAGTTTAGGGTTTGGGGTGGCTTGGGGTGGGGTCCGTAGTTTAGGCCCTTGTGCGGATTTGCAGCTTCTCACCAATCGCAGCAGATCCATGTTCTCCACCTCAAAGCAGGCTCGACAAGGCTTCTGAATTTCGTTTATTATCCTCAGAGCTCTGCTCTGCTCTTCCATGCTTTGCGATTGCTAGGCTCTGCTCTTTATACTATACTATTTTCTTATAAACTTGACTGGACTATACTATACTTTGTTATACCTTTTACGATTTTGTTCTGTGTTATGGTTTCTGTCCATATTATACTATTCACTGTTCCTGCTTCGATCGATCGGCGGCCAATGATGCCCGCTCAGAGTCAGGGTGCCGCAGCAACGCTGCTGCTGGTTTGCAGCCTCCTGCTGCAGGGCTGCGGGGCTGGCTTCTACCAGGACTCGAAGCCCTAAGTGTTGAGGGTTTTGGGTTTTCAAAACCCTATAAGCTCTAAACCTTGAACCCGAGGCCAAAACGCCCGGGGTTGGAAGACCCGACACCCGAAACAAAAAAACACATAATCCCCAACCCGTACTCACGAAGCCCTAAACTCTAAACCCCATTCCCGATAAGCCCCAAAACCTGATTCCTATCGGGCCAGGGAATTGAGGTGGCGTGCATCATCTGCGGTATCCTTGGTACCCTGTCTCTTGGATTGCTTTCAGGTTCAGGGGAAGAGAAAAAAGTGTTTGGGTTGTCGGATTTAGAGTTTAAAGTTGAGGTTCCAGGGTTTTGGGGTCTGGGATTCATTCAGGGTTTAGGATTCAGGTTCTGGGCTCCAGGGCTTCGTTTGTTATTATTGTTACTAACATTGCTATTATTGTTGTTGTTGTTGTTGTTATTGCTGCTGTTATTCGTTAGAGTTTGGTGTTGCCCTCATCCCTAAACCCTATACACCCTGCGTCCTGGTCCTGTAACCCCAGACCCTACAACGCAAACCCCAAACCCGAAATGCCAATCTTCTGTCTGCAAGGGCTACGATCATCACCTGTTGCTATGGCATGTCCATGTCGCCCAACAAAGCAAGACCAGCTCCTCGGACTGCCAACAGAGCACTTTTACTTTTAAGTGTTGAGGGTTGAGGGCTTACGGAGAATTTTAAGTTTAAGTGTTGTTGAGCTGGCTGCATGCATTGTTCCCTTAAGCCCTAAACCTTAACCCTACAAAACCCTCAACCCTAAACCTGAATCTCCAAGAAAAGCACGTTTGAGGCCTTCATTGCGTGTTGGGTCCTTTTTTTTCTCACCCTCTGCGTCTGGGTGGGCTTGGGCATCCAGCAGGTGGGCTTCGGCAATTTCGTGGGGGTTAGAGTTTATGATCTCTAGGGTTTTTGCATGTTTTAGGGCTCATAGGGTTTAGGGGTCCTGGAGTTTAGGGCCAGGGTTCAGGAAACCCGTAAGTGCTAAACTCATACACCTGCAGCCATTAGAGTCGAAACCTAAAACCCTAACGCACAAAGCCTGAACCCAATGATTCAACCCATTAAAGAACTGCACTCTGAGCCCTCAACTAGACCCTAACCCTGAACCCTAAACCCTCAACATGCAAGCCTTCAGCCCTAAGCCTCTAGCAAAAACACTCGAAAACCCCATAGACTGAGCTCTCGGGATCCCTGAAAGAGGCCTTCGCGAACTGTGAGACCTATCGCTCCTTTGAGCCCGACGCCTGCGATTCCTGGGTTGAGCCTCCTCCAAAGAGCTTCAGCGCGGAGGCATGCTGTGTGATGCCAACAACAACTGAGCCGCCAGCTTAGGATTTAGGGTTGAGGGTTTAGGGTAGATAGGGTTGGGTTTACGGTGTAGGATCTAGGGTCTATCTTCATGGTTGGACTTTGAGAATGGGTAGGGTTTCGAGTGTTTTGGGCTTAGTGCGCATGCATGCATTGCTGAATTCAGGCCAGTCCAAGCCGTCCGCGAATAGTCTGCTTTTCTTTCCGGAAGATGTCGACATTCTCAAAGAACGAGACAGTTCCAGACGAGCACCCCTGAGCCAAGGGTCCAGGTAGCCTGAAATCCTACTATACACCCTATAAACCTTAAGCCCTATAGACCCCATACCCTGAGCCCGAAAGCCTGATCCTCAAGCGTTAAGAATAACAGCCCCACTTGTTCATAGTTAAGGGCACATGGACCCTCGGCAATCTCGGCAGCAAGAACTCCTCACATGAGCAGTCTGGACTAGGACGTGGTTTCACGGGCATGATGCTGACAGTGCCCTGAATAACGGCGCGGGTGCGCAAAGGCCGCTGCGCATGCTACACTTCACCTTAGGACTTCAACTCTAAATCCTAAACCCTAAATTCAACCCGGAACCGTATAATTACATCCTAAACTCTAAACCAAAAACGGCCAAACCCCCACAGACTTTCAAAACCCCACGAAGCGTCACCCGAGCCCATACCCAAATCCCGGAAGCCTGAATCCCCAGAGACTTGACCTGAACCCTACAGTCCGAACTTTCGCCCTTTTTCTACGACCTGGACGGCAGTGGATATTGCTGTGATCTTTACATGCAAATCAAGGTATAAGTGGGCTGGGGGCTTATGGTTTAGGACTTGATTTTTTAAGGATCAAAAAATTCGCCTTTTAAAGAGATCCTTGAACTTAGGGTTTAGGGATGACGGGTTCAGGCAGAGCTCAGGGTTTGTCTCCGTTGGATCGGCACCAGGTGGGGGTGTACGTTCAACTGTATGGCCGACCTACTACATATGATATTAAACCTAAACTACACTGTACGATACTAGACTAGACTATGCTATACTTTACGTACTATACTATACTTCACGATGCTGTACTGTACTGTTCTATACTGTACTCTGCTAATGACACTACACTATACACGAACATTATCTGTTTCATCCTCTAAATCCTGAAGCGCAGCTTCACCCCTAAACCCAGGGATGCCTAACTTTGGGTTCCCGGCCTGTTAACTGAGCCTATGACTCTTGAAAGGCGAGGATGCGGCGCGCACATGCATGCAGGAAACTTCGAGCTCGGGGCTTCGGGTTGAGGGCTTGGGGCTTCGGGGGTTTACTTAGGCTTCAGGGCTTGGGGTTTAGGGCGTAGTGCTCAGGGTTTAGGGCTCCTTTCGGCTCCCCGAAGCTAAGAGACAAAGGGCTTAAAGCTTAAAACTTACGGCCCCAAGCATTCTAGGTGGACTATCCCAAACCCCTCTAAACCCTAAACCCCAAACCATGTGAGTACACCTACAGTACCCGGAAAGGTACACATGCCCTATACCCTCAACTCGCAACCAGAAAGACCCAAATGAAAGTGCAGAAGCCTCCCTCATGTCTATGCTCATAAACCCAATCAAGTCCCCAATCCCCAAATCTCCTGATGACCCCATAATCCTTCGTAAGCTTAGGCCGAGCTAGAGATCAATGAACTCCGCGGCTGAAGGAGAGCTCCCACGCAGTGGCGACTGAGCTGGTGGAGTGGGCGGAGCAGCAACTTACCAGACTGACCTTAATATAGGGGCCTTAATAATTAGACTGTTAGACTACGGGTTTGGGGGTATATTCTACCATAAGTATGATAAGGAACCCCCCAAAACCGGTAGGGCAGGACAGGGCAGGGTCGAGTCGGCTTCAGGATCTATGGTGTATGCTGGCTTGGTTTCTTCACCACACTCTGCGACGGCGAGTATATCATAGGGACCCTAAGGGGGGTTAGGGGGAGGGGGGAAGGGGGCCTCTCAATGCCCATAATCAGGACCTGATAGGGCCTATTTAAGGAAGTATGGCCCCCTCCCCCCTACCCCCGTAAGGCTCCCTATGAATATATTGTCAAAGCAACTGACAAACCTTCTCCGACTCCCTTTCTAGTTGTGCTTGCACTGGTTGTGTCCTTCGAACTTGCAGTTCCGTCAGGTTTGGGAGAAGTGCTTCGACAGTCAGGCCCATCCTAGACAAGCCTTCATGCAGTTACTTTTTTCGATTATCTGAAACCAAAAAGCCCGAGACAATAAGCCCAAGACCCTTGAAGCCACGACTAAGTGCCCGCGGTAAGGCAGAAGGTGATCAACCTGCAGCAGAGGCCTCGGCGGAGTGAATGGGTTCAGGCGTTGCTGTTGAGGGTTCAGGGTTTAGGGCACTTGTTTGACATGTGAATAGGTTGAGGGCTGGGAATTTTGGGGTGGGGATTTCAGTTAAAGCATGCTCTACCCAGATGGGGGAGCCGGCTTGCGGCTACGCACTGGCAGTCGAGTTACGCCTAGGTCCCGAAGTTGGAAACTCCTGGGCTAGGTAGTCTAATTATTGTAGTTAGTACTACAATTGTTCATTACCGTAGTTCAAGCTCTGTAAACCGTCAACCCACAGCCACCAAGCCTTTAGCTCCAGATGTGCTCTGGCAGGAACACGATGCTCAAAGAGATCTCACGCAGAGCTGGCGTTCGTGCTCCATCCTCCAGCATCATGTCTGAGACCGTCATGTCAGGTCGGACGTAGTACGCATTGGATCGAATTGAGCGCAGTGGTTGACTGTCATGTGGCGAGCTGCTGGTATGTAGGGCCAAAGAACGGCGGCACATATCAGTCATTTTCGGGTCCGACCTAATCTTTAATTATCCGCAGTAACACTGAAACCTAACTCCAGAAAGCCGAAGCTGCAAGTGATCTCGGTGACCCTCGGAGCTCGCAGGGTTTGAAGATTAAGAAGAGTTTACAAAGGCTTGCGGCAGGGCTTTACCGGGTTGTTCAATTGTGTTACAAGGATGCGAACGGGTTCGTATAGAGTTTGGGAGGGCTAGTTTTCAACAAAGCAAGCCTTTGCCAACAATGGGAGCCTTGGAGAGAGCAGCCAGAACTTAGTTTGCTGAACTCAGAACTTTGATACCAGATGCGGCACTGGCGGAACTCGCCCTAAAGCCCAAACCCCACACCCCCCCTCCGTCGATGCAACTCCAAACCACCAAACCCTGAATCCCTCAAGCCGCAAGACTGCCTGAAGCCAGAAACATCCCAAACACCTGCTCGTGAAGACAGTCTTCATGAGGAGCCGCAAAATGCAGGTTGTTGTTTTGACAGGGGGTCCATGTAAAGCCTAGGGGCCCTCAGGCTCCGAACCTACAGTCCCCAAGCTTCTTTAGCACCCGCAGCTTTATTAAGACTTTGTACTGTAAGCCCCCATAAGGCTCATGTATGTATGTGTATATATATATATATATATATACATACATACATACATACATACATACATACATACTCATATTCAGTATAAACTTATACAGCCGATACAACCCAAAGGCCAAGACCCTAAAGCCCCAGTGCTGCCCGAGTGCCCCGAACCCCGCAGGCCCTGAACCCCTTTAGAAGCCTTTTCAGATCTTTTGAGCGTTTATCAGACACCTTATTCGGGCCAAGACCCTCTAGGATCCTTTATCAGGCCCTGTAATTAGGCCCCAAGCCCCAAACCCAAAACCCGAACACCTAAGGAAAGAAGCCTGCTTCCTGGACTCGCTTAGCACCTGACTGACGGCCGCAAAACCCTGCCGCAAAAGAGGGCGCAGGGTTTGGACTTCAGCACGGTTTGTGTAAGGGATTTGTTTGTAAGATTTCTGTCGGGATTTGTGGATTTGCTAAAATGGCGGAGAAAGACATCCATAATGGATTCAGAGAGTTAGTGTTTGAACATGGGTGTTAGGGTCTGGGCTTTAGTCTAAGATTGACCGGTTTAGGAATTCGGTCTTTGGGTGTTCAAGACAAGGGGTTTATGGTAAGCACCAACAACCGTTTCGAGGTATACATCCCGGCCCCTATACCCTAAACCCTATGAAATCCCCGTGAAATACTGAAGGACGCCCTTCTCCAACGGTTAAGGCTCGGATGCTGCTACCCACTTCGTCGGACGAAGTCATGGGCGGCTACGAATGCCGTATGCCCCAGTTCAATTCAGCCGTAACCATAAGCCCTAGAAGCCTAAACCCCTAAAGATCTCTTAGAGAACCCTACCTTTATAGCAATCTTATAGGAATCCGAAAACTAACTCCCTAACCCTCCTGCCAGGACACGGTTTCAATCGAGGAAGCCATCTCAGCCATGGCGGCGTGGGAGCCAAGTTGACCTCCCAAGGTGCAGAAGAGAATGTTCGCCAGGGCTGAGGAGGGAGCGTGTAAGGTTTTAGGTTTAGGGCGTTAGGTTGCGACATTAAGGTTGCAGGCCTCGTAGGTGCATGGAGTAAGGGCATAGCTTGGAGGATAAGGCATAAATAAAGTGTCAGATTTCAACCGAAAGCGTTTCTACGAAGGTTGAAGCTCTGGAGAAAGGTACCACCACGGTGAGCTTTTGGTTCCAGGGTTTCAGGATGTTTCAGGTCGGCTGTTGTGCTATTGGGGCTCAGCTTGCGGGTCCAATCCGGGTTTGCGCCTCTCCTCAAACCGAAGCTGCCAAGTTTCATGCTGAAGTCACCTAGGACCTAAGAAGCCATAAGAAAGGTAAGTCTCAGCTGGGCCTTTTCAACTCCTCATCCTTCTGACGGCAAAGGTGCGCTACCGCGCCGGGCGAGACCTGAAATCGGGCTTGGAGGTGCTTAGGGCTTTGAGGTTAAAGGGGTTTGGCAGGATTTCGGGTTTGGTTTGGGGCTGAGGGGCCTGGAGGGCTGTGGGGGTTTCCTGGTTAATGTCAGCAGTCGCGCAAGTAGCCTTTCGCACGGCATTTTTGGGTAGCGCAGCGTAGACCCTAAGCCCTGACATCGTACACAAAATCTACAGTTTACCCTCTTCTGGTGAGTCTTATTTCCGCAAGGAAAGAGTTGAGGAGTGTCGAGGTTTGACGTGTAGTATTCTTTATGGCCTTTAGAGTTTCTTGCGACGCAGGATTTTGCTGCTGCATGTCGCCCCCCCCTATGATGGATTCAAGACTTTCAACCCCGATTTGAAAAACAAACCCAAAGCCGGTGGAGAGTTTGGGGTGTTGGTGCATACGGAGCTTAGGGTTTGGGCGGTTGTGTTGGGATTTACTGTAGGGTTTCGGGAGCACCCTCGAAGAGCAAGAAGATTGAAGTTCTCGGAACTGTAGCTTTAGAAGGTCGACAACCATCCAATCCTTGAGCCACTTAATCCGCTCAAGTAAATCCTGCAACCAAAACACCTACTTTGGAAAAAGGCCCGAGAACGCTTGAAATCCTAGATCGCAAGTCCAAACCCATATGCCACCACCACCACCAGCAGCAACAACAGCAGCAAAAGCCCAAATACCGTCCCGCCAGAACCTTACTCGAAGATCACAGAGAAGGTGGATTGAGGCACATCGACCTGTCGGGGTTTTCAGAAACCCATTGAAATTGGGGTTACCGACTTTCGGTTGTTACAGAGGAGCAAACCATGCAACTTGCAGGGCACAACGGTGCAGGGTATCCTAGAGTGCCTCGGCCGGAATTCGGCCGAACCTGCGCTTTGCATCAGCCAGCAGACTCTCAAAAGCCCTGAGCCCCAGAAAGCCGTAAACTGTTGCTTGTGCTGGGTTCGAGAGGCTTTGTTTGGACCTGCTCCTTAAAGGAATCATTATGGAATACAAATCCATACTTTTGCTTCCTGGTTACTTCAAGTCCTGTGTCTCAAACACGTGTCACAATCTGGAATATCAAGCTTTCGTGAGCCTGCATATTCGCTAACATAGTGTTCCTGCATCCCGAGTCCGTGCCATACTCGAGCATGGTATATCCCCGAACCCAAAGCCAACTACTTAGATTTTGCTGCGACGGGATCGTGGGGCTTTGGGCTCAGAGCGAAGAGTTATAGGGAGGGCGCGGCTTCTCCTAGAGAACCCGTTGTGAGTAACGAGGTCCGGCCTGAATAGGCCGAACACTGCCTTAAATGCTTGGCTTGATGACTTAGGGCCTTTCACGGTTGGAGGGTTTAGAGCTTACTGTAAGGGTTTAAGGGTGTAGAGTTTGAGGGCTTAGGGCTTGATAGGGCTTGAGGGTTCAAAGGTTTGAGGGTTTGCGGTTTCTGGGCCCATTTCATGTATTTAAATCCTTCGGAGTTTTTCTAGACCCGCAAAGGTTGGAGCCGGGCCAATTTAAAACTTGAACCCTCGAAAAATCGCTACGTCCGCTCTCCTGAACCCTACGAAAGATCGCGGCCCATCAGGTGGAGGGCGATTACTGCGACGACGTCACAGTGGTGTTCATTGCACCCAAGTCTGAGGCAGGCGGAACTTCAGGGCTTTCCAGACCTTTAGAGCGGGCTGGAGCTTTAGGGGTTTAGGTTAGGGCTTTGGTGGGTTTGTTGTCCAGGATCTTTCCTCGAACTGCATCTGGTCGCTAGTTTACGGCTTTGGGTTTTGGTGCTTCGAGTTCCAGGGCTCAGTGTTGTTCGTTGTCTACCGGTTCAGGGCTTCAGGGTCTCCGCCTCAGCCCTAAACTTCCTAAACCCAGCGATCCATGGCAGCAAGCTTACCGACCTTTTCTCCTCTTTGCAATCACTTTCTCCGCGATCGTCTGCTCTGCTAAGTCTTTATGCAAGACGGTGATCCTACTACTAGCGTCGCGAAGTCACCTGCCAAGATTTACGTTCGTTCGTGCTAGGGACCTCTAAACCGCTGAGGAAACTCTAGATGCATAATTATTCCCTGCCTTCAAGAGCACTCAACACACAGAATTCCGGAAGCTCAGGCGCTGGGCACTAGCTCCAAAGTCGTGCCCAGAAACATCCAGGCATATCACTCCAACTGACCGACAGGAGGATCCCAACATCTAGCCTTAAGCCTTTGCAGGCCAAAGCCGCACCGGATACTACAGGACTGCATGCACTTAGGGACTTAGGGGTGCAGCACCTGCTACAGCCTAAAGGCCGGTATAGAACTCAGACAGGGCAGGGGTAATATCCGACCCCCAAGGACCCATAAATCCCCAGTCTCGTCCGATTCGAGAGCCGGCTTTGTCGGGTGATGACTCTTTTGGTGTGGATCCTAGGCGCAAGGGCTCTGACCCGTAGCCGTAGAGCCGAAGACACTTCCGAGTTGGGGCTTCTGGAAACGGAGGCCCGCTTGGGGTAACCGGCTCGGAGCCCAAAAGCTGCAAACTTTCAATCCCAATACCGTTACACTCTTACAGCCTGCAAGCCCCAAAGACTCCAGAATCCCAGAAACCCATGGCTGAACCCTGAATTTTAAATCTCAAGAGCCTTGAGATAATCTCCGCCTCGAACAGCCGTCCGGACCAATTGAATTAACCCTAAGCGGATTCGTGACTCCCGCATCCCACATCAGGTTTGTAGTGCCATGAGCCTGTCCATAGAAACGACGGCACAGGAGCCCGAGCCACCTGAAGAAGACAAGCTGAAGATGAGTCTCTCAAACAGGGAAGAACCGCCCAACCTTCGACTCCACAGTTGGATCCCGACCACGCACTCGGTTTTAGTGTCTGGGGCTTCCTTTGATTTGGGGCTCTTAGGGTTTAGGGGGTTTTGTGTTGAGAGTTTAAGCACAGCAGACGACGGGAGATTCGCAGTTTCACCTAGGGCACTTCAGGTCTCAGAGTCGAATCAGATTCTATTTGTCTCGGGACCGTATCGGCAATATACAATGATTGTAGCGGTTTTAGCGTAAACATCCTGCAAACACTAGTCGACTTATTCAGGCCTATGTAGGTTGAACACGTTGGAGTTCTTGGATTTGGGATTAAGGACGCCCATTCGCCGGCGTATAAAGAGTGCACGAGATAAGTTTGGCATGCAGTGCCGAGCCATGAACCTCGAAAAGAGTCCTGAACCCTGAGATATGCGTCCAAGCCTCGGGCTTGGAGTACAAGCCCCATCACTATACACCCGAAACCCCTACACTATTGCGCGGCCTGTGGCAACAAGGTACCTGTAAGTAGATCCTGGCTTATGTTAAGGGCTCGCAAGAATGGTGCTGCCGTGCCAGTCGTTAGATTGCAATGTGATAGTAATACAGTCGCACCCCGACCAGTATGATAGTAATATGTGATCGCAACCCTGGTTAAAGTTGCTGGATATGGATTCGAGTGTCACAGACTTCTGAGTTCTGGTGCAGGGCTTAGGGCTTTTATCGGCAAGTGAAATCAAGCGAGAGTCGCATATCTCGACCTGACCCCGAAGAATTCTTGAAAGAAAGCTGTTTGAGTGACCACCCTGAGCAGCAGCCGGTCATTGAGCACAATTCAGACCAATGAATCTCGGCATCACAGAAAAAAGCAAGACCTCGAAAAAACCTAAGATTCAAGTATTAGCTTCGCAACATTAGCTTACGAAACCGAGTCTAGCCATCTATGAGATTATGATCTAGACTGATCGAATTAGTGAGAGGAGCAAATCAATCTCTCGAATAGGTTTCTGGCAATATTAGATCGCGAGGTATACTAGAATCGGTATAAATTTATAGATAAATAGGAATTTCATACGATAACTGTGAAATAGAGAGACCATCTTGAGAGGACCTAATATAGTGGGTTTAGAGGTCTTGGTTTTGCTTGAAGAGTCAACTTTCGGATCTTAATTGCTAAAGGAAAAAAGC